GTTTATGGAGTATTACCTTATATGGCACCAGAAGTTTTACGTGGATATCAATATACAAAAGCAGCTGATATTTATTCATTTGGAATAATTATGAATGAGTACCTTTCTGAAGAAATTCCTTTTAATGATATTCCTCATGATCATATTTTAGCCGTTAAAATATGTGAAGGACTTAGACCAAAAATTTTTGAGGATATTCCAAAATTTCTTGTAGATTTAATTATGAAATGTTGGGATGCTAAAGCAGAAAATAGACCATCTGCTAAAGAATTGTACCAAATATTAAAGAAATGGAAGGAAACACATGACTATTATTCTCAAATGTGGGAATATGATAATAAAATTGGAGAAAAAAAATTGAAAAACAAATTAAATGAAAATAAGTCTGAAAGTATTAAAACTCATCCTCAAGCAATCTATACAAGCAGACTGTTAAATTTTAAAAATCTTCCAGAACCAGTAAATTCATCAGATTTATCATCATTTCAAGTTAATTCGGGTAAATTTTTAATTTTAATTATGAAAAAATCTTATTCAAGTTTTAACGATATCAAATTTTTTTTAATAATAGATCAGTATCAGCAAATATAAGTAAGTATAATCATTAATACTTTTTTTAATAAATTATATTTTTATTTTAACGTCATTTTATTGTTTAATTTATAGTTTCAGAATGCTTAGATTGTTCAATTTAGCGAATCAGGTAAAATGATTTATTGGAGTGATTTATTATTTTATTAATAGTTTTCTCGTCAAATTCGTCTAATTTATTTAATTATTTCCAATAATAGATCTCGATGAGATTAATCAAGAAGAAGAAATTTGAGTCTTAAATTAGTTACAGTAGGTTTTCTCGGGAATAGCCAGAATAAATTTAAAGATAGTACTTATAAACTTTAGTATAATGTTTTGGTGGAAATTTTTATGGGTAAGATCAAATAGCCAAAAAAAAAAAAAGTTTATTATATATATTATTTATAGTATATATAGCTAGACGCTCAACTTTGATTGCAGAATTACATCATGATAAAAAAAAATTACGATAGAAAATCTTTAAGTTAGCTGGTTTATTAAACATTAAGAAACCTTAAAATTAGTTGCAAACATGCAAATAATTTAAAGTTTACTATTATCTTTCATTAACAGTAATTTATTTTTATATTTATTATTACAGTAGTTTTTTTATCCGAATAAATTTTTTTTTTGTTCTTTTTAAAAACTAGTTATCTAAGTTTTCAATTAATTCAAAATTATTTTTTTAAGGTGGGGTTAAAAAAATCGTATATTTTCTTTCATAAAACAGAAACTGCAATCGTATCCGCAGTAAAAAACATTAGCATCTTTTATATTCCAATACAACAAGTATAATAGAACATATAATAATTAAATTGACCGAAAATATAATCCGGTTAAGAATTTTTAAGGAATAAAATTTGCAATTTTAATTTCCTCACGCAATTGCGACCGAAAAAAATTTCAAATATCATTGAAAATTCAGGCATTGATTAACCATACCAATTTTACCATATCAGATATTATTTTCATATCTATCCCTCTTTGTAAAAAAAATGAAATGTCCATAATTTTTTTTAAAAAATAAATCTTAGTTATTTCTTAATAAATATGTTGAAGATATGGTAATAATTAATTTACTTATGTGTTTCGTGTATTTTACTTAAAAATTGACCTAATTCATTTAAATGTACTATGTGCTTTCATATCCATCAGTTTTGTTATTCTATAATAAATTAATATTTGTTTTTATAGAAATTTCAATTTATATAAAAAATATATATGAGGGGGGGAAAAATGAAATTGGTAACGAGCTTCTCTATAATATATAATTCCCCTATAAAAAATTTTTATCCGAATATTTCCACTATTTCTCCGTGACTTCCGTAAAAATTCCGTGAAAATGATACATTCACGGATATCCGTGTTAGGGAGATGAAAATTTCCATAATTTAAGGCTATAAATTCCATTAAAATGATACATTCACGGAAAAAATATGGAAAGATAAAACACGGATCAGATTTTTTACAGGGTTCTAATTACTACTTTACCTAAAAGTATGCCTTGATCGATCAAGTTGATTAATCACATGATTGATTACATATGACAGGGTCAAATTTGTTCGATCGAAAATCACTCTAATCCCATACATACTACTACACCTAGGTACAGTACATTTTTAACCGGTAATTCCGGTAAAATAGCGTGTCTTGCTACACTTAAAACTTTATAATCCTAATCCTTTATAATTATGAAAACAAGCATGAATTATTAATCAAACGGTCGGTCGGTCAAAAGTAAGGTTCTTGACCGGTTTTGACCGACTGATGCGTGTCATGAAACATTATTTACAACGTCGCTTTCTTCTAGTATTTACTATCACACCCGAAAAAGAATAAATGTTGTCATTAATAACTCACAATTCATTATAAATTTTTAAATTTTAAATTTTACTATGTTTATTTAAACCTTGTACGAACAAAGATTACAAAGATTTAACAGTAATATACCGCAATACGAACTACTATAAAATGTTGATATAACAAATGGCACTACAAATCAGCTGCACCAAATATTTTTCCAACGCATGAATATCGTCTTTAAAAATCTTTTTTACGATTAAAATCAGTATAATTATATAATAAATATGAGTATTAATATTATATGTACAGTAGATTATTAATAAAATACACCTAAATACCTTTGGTAATAATTTTCCTTTTGCAGGGTAACTTTCTAAATTATGATCAGTGACATGATTTCCTTCACCAAAAATTTTTTTTGTGGTCAAATTTAAAAGGGTGAATTTATATTCCTCACCCTTCGATCCGGATGAAAACCGTCATTCAGGTTACACAAAAAGATCCGGATTGGATTTATAACTGATCGGCAATAATTCCGGCTGGAATTCATAACGCCGGCCAGAATTACAAATTTGTGTAACATTAAAATTTTCGTGCCACTATTCTTAGATTCTTATCATAGCCAATAAAAAATTTTTATCCGGTGGCTAAACTATTTTTCCGGTATCACGTGATATAAATTTCGGCCAGAATTACAATTTGGCCAAAATTATCTAAGACCGCGATTCATAATTCCAATTTTATTTAATACTTTTTTTTAAAGCAATTTTATATTATTTCAGCATTGTCTCAGACTATTGTTTAAAATTTTTCTATAAATTAACTAATTATGAAATTTTGGATAAACAAGATATTTTATTTACAACTAAAGATTACTATAGATAGATGTGTTGAGTTAGAAGGCAATTTTTAAAATGTTAAAATGTGATTTGTTTTCTTCTTTCAAAAATTAAAGAATCATTTGAATCAAATTATATAACACTAAGGTTTTAATTTTTTAAAAAAAAGTTGTTATAATTATATAAATTTTATAATATCTCAATTTTTTTGTAATTTGATCTGAATAATTTTTCAGTTGACCGACATGTGATGTTGGTGTTTTCACTTTTCTTTAATGAAAGAAAATATACATATTTCTATAAATAATTTGTAAATCTTAATTATATAAAGTTACGGTGCTATGCAAAAAAAATAAATAAATAAAGATTCATCCGGATTCCGATTTAAACCGGATATTTTTCATTTAGATTATAATCCGGATGAAAACTGCAAAATCCGGATATCCGAAAAAAAAATATCCGGATATGGATCGAAGCACTAATTTGAATCATTCGATATTCCTCACCCCAAGTCATAAATTGTCAAAAATGTCAAAAATGTTATTCATAACCTTTCTTAAGGTATTAAGTAAAGAGCAGTCAAAATTACCTATAAGTCATAATTTTGAAGGCTATACGAAGCTTATATTAAGTTTTATTTTAAAAATTTTTTTTCCATAACATGACGTCATTTTTATATATATTAAATTCGGGGGAGAAATCACCCGGGTGAGAAATAAATTTTTTCATTTAAAAATATGTGAAGTTAATTTTTTCTTAAAAATCGATTCAATTTATTTATTTTATGGTTTTTTTTTTATTTTCTAATTGAAGTATCAAACGAAAATCTCTTTCTTTATATGGCCACCTAAATAAATTGTTTATCTGGTTTTCAAATTTTCAGACTCTTATTTTAAAAAATTTGTGAATTTTTTTTTTCGTGAAATTGCGATGGCATCCGCAATAAATCTGGCGATTTATAACTTATTAATTAATTTATTTTTTTCTAAATTAGTTTAAACAATTATAAAACCATTACATGTTACAATTGAAAGTGTATCGACAGCAAAAGTTACTTTTATGATTATAAATATTGGTACACTTAATAATTTTTTAATAAGAAATATGTATATATATCTAATAAATTTTATATAATACCAGCTACCATATATACTTCAATTTGTAAAATGAATAATTTAATAAAAAAAAAAAATGTGCGGCTGACAAAATTGTTGAATCTGATTGGTATGGATTGTAGCCTCAGGATGTGCATGATACATGTTGTGCATATTTTTGTATACATTTAGCTATATAAAATAACTTTACGTTCACTAAAATTTGTTTTAATACTTTTCATTTATTATAAAGTAAATAACAGTAGTAACACATATAACTAAAATTACTGTAATTAACATTTATTTCGTAATTGATAAGTATGGAGTCGTTAAAAAAGATATTCAAAAAAATGTCAAGAAATACTAATATGGAAATTTTGAATAAAACATCCAAAGAAAAACCAAGAAATTTATGGAAAGATTTTGATTGGAAAAAATATCAGGTAAATGCAATTTCACTTTATAATTTAGATATTATGATTTAAATAATAAATAAAATATATTTTAATCATTTATTTAGTCTCATGTTACTGTTTCTTCTATTAATTTTGCCACTAAATCAGAAGAGATTGATGATAGTGTAATTTATATGGACGATATAGAAAAAAGAAAAGAAGTATATGGTATATGTGGGGAATGTAACGAACCTGGCACAGGAGAAAAATGGTGTCAATCTTGTAATGCAAAAAGATTTGAAAAAAATTTTAAAAATTGGACTAGTGGAAATAAAGATATTGATGAATTAATACAACATTCACAACTTAATGCTGTACATTATAAAACATGTCTTGAATGGATACCTTTTGAGAAATTTCAAAATGTCACTTATATTACCAGAGGAGGCTTTGGTAAAATTTATTCAGCTGAATGGTCTGGAGGTTATATTGGTTATTGGGATATTGAAAATCAAAAATGGATTAGAAGAACAAATTATAAAGCTGCATTAAAAAGCTTGGATAATTCTTCTGATATTAGTATAAATTTTTTAAATGAGGTAACTAAATAAAAAAATTAATTTATCATGTTATATTTAAATTGACATTATAATTTTTATTAAATTTTGTTTTTTTTTAAAAAAAATTTTAATTCTTAGATCACATCTTATCTTCAGATTTATATTTGGGGTATTGTTTACTGCTATGGAATAACTCAAGATCCAAATACCAAAGATTATATGATGGTTTTACATTATTGTAAAAATGGAAATTTAAGAAATTACTATCTTAATTCTAATGATGATACGAAACTTTATGATTTATCAAGAATTGCAAATGGACTGTTAGATATCCATAATGCTGAAAAAGTCCATAAAGACTTACATTCAGGTAATATATTGGAAGGTGGGACTATGTATATAAGTGATTTAGGAATGTGTCAACCAGCAAATAAACAAATAGTTAAAGAAGAAGGAATTTATGGAGTATTACCATATATGGCACCAGAAGTTTTACGTGGATATCAATATACAAAAGCAGCTGATATTTATTCATTTGGAATAATTATGAATGAGTTCCTTTCTGAAGAAATTCCTTTTAAAGATATTCCTCATGATCATATTTTAGCTATTAAAATATGTAAAGGACTTAGACCAAAAATTTCTGAAGATATTCCAAAATTTCTTGTAGATTTAATTATGAAATGTTGGGATGCTAAAGCAGAAAATAGACCATCTGCTAAAGAATTGGATCAAATATTAGCAAAATGGCATGAAGAATATATGAAATTCAATGGCGAAATTTATTCTCAAATGAGTGAATATGAAAAAATTAGAGAAATAAAATTTAAAAACAGATCACATGAAAATAAGTCTGAAAGTATTAAAACTCATCCTCAAGCAATCTATACAAGTAGACTTTTAAGTTTTAAAAATCTTCCAGAACCTGTAAATTCATCAGATTTAACATCTTTCCAAGTTAATTCAGGTAAATCTTCAATTTTAATTATGAAAAAATCTTATTCAAGTAAGTTTTAACAATATTAATTTTTTTTTTAATAATAGATGATGTCTCAACAAATCTAAGTAAGTATAACCATTAATACTTTTTTTATTATAAATTCATATTTTTATTTTAACATTATTTTATTATTTATTATATAGTTTCAGAATGCTTTGATGTTCAACTTAGCGAATCAGGTAAAATAATTTATTTGGAGTGATTTATTATTTTATTAATAGTTTCCCGTTCAATTCGTCTAATTTTATTTAATTATTACTAATAATAGATCTCAATGAAATTAATCAAGAAGAAGAAATTTGAAAGATGAGACTTAAATTATAGTTGGCTTTTTCGGGAATAGTCAGAATATTATTTAAAAAGATAATATTTAAAAATTTTTATTTAACTTAGTTCATATTTTTATTTACTTTTTTATATCTTAGTGGAAATTTTTATGGCAGAATCAAATAAGCAAAAAGAAAAAAAATAAATGTAAAATATCTTAGGGTCTTACGTTAAAAAAGAGACGTTCAACTTTGATTACAAACGTTAGAAAGCGTTAAATGCTTGACAAATATTATTCTGATATCATGATAAAAAATTAATAGAAAATCTTGGGTTAGCTTGTCTATTATGAAAACTTAAAATAGATCTCAAACAAACAAATAATTTTTAAATTCGTTATTAACTTTATATTTATATTTTAAAAGTGATTTATTTTTATATTTATTTATTAATCTCTTTTTTTTTTATTTGAATAAGTTTTTAAATAAAGTTATTTAAAACTTTAATTGATACATCTAAAATTATTTTTGTGGTGGGTTAAAATAAATCGTAAATTTTCTTTCATGTGCAATCGGTATCCGCTGTAATCACCTCAGAAAAATATGAGTTCATTTATTATATAATTTCCTTTATTTTTTTTCCAATACAATAAGTTTAACATGATAGAATATATGTTCGCAATATTAAAGGACAAAAATAATAAATTGATCGAAACTCGGCCCAATAAGAATTTTTAAAGAATTTTATCTCACCTGCACTAATTTATCTAATTGATTATTAGCTAGCTTACTAACGAAAGTAAAGTATTGAATTATATATATAGATCAGGACTATCAGATCAAAATTAATAACTACAAACAAAGAAAGAAGTGTTTGCTGATTGATATATTTCTTTATAAATGTCACTAACTAATTTTGCAATTGAAAAAATTATTTTTAATCGAAACGAAAAAAAAAATTATTTATTACAGGTATGTAATGAGTTTTACTTTTACAGAATAAAAATACCTTTGTAATATTAAACCAATTTGGAATAAAATATAATATATATACTATTTTTTTTCAAAAAAGTTTAGTATAATAAATTTAGAAATATAATGCTAATCATTTTAAACTATATTAACGATATTAAGATTCACAAAAGTCAAGACATTGATGTACTGTTTCAATGTATTCTAAACTGTTATTATCTGATAGATTAATTCATATTTCAAGTTATTATTAATACATATATGATATACCGTAACATACCTCGTCTCGCATCAAATGAATTTATTGAAAATAAAAATTTATTGAAGATTTAGAATCAAAGAACTCGTGTAAAAATTGCTTTTGAATGGGATTTTTTACAAAATTTTGGAGCTTCTTATTTCATTCTTTTTTTTTTTTTGAAAGCATTCCGATAAAATTAGCCTTTTTGAAGAATTTCAACATCTTTTCATTAAATTGACAAAAAAAAGAAATTTGGGTTTCATTTATAATTTCAGTCCAATTTCACTCAATAATCTTATAAATAAGATAAAAATTATTATGTTCATTAAACTTTGTTGTAAGTTCCCAAATAATCATATCTATATGTGAGATTTGATGAAATATAATATTATTATCACTTGTTAGGTTGTGATAATTTTAAGTCTGTAATTTTCCAATCTTCAGTCAATAACGTATTACCACTATGAATGAACATCTCGATGTATAAAATTATTAAATTATAAATTATTATCTGAAGCGTTAATAATTAACTTAAATAAAATAATTTAATCCATTAAAAATATAAATTACCCATTTGGAATTTGCCATAAAATTCTTAATTTTTATATCCATGTAATAATAAACAAATATTTATAATACTCATTTAACCTTTCGTACATTTCATTATTAACACTCACTCTATTACTTATTTTTTATTATGTGAAATTTTTTAATAATCCAAAATACATTTAATGGATTTAAATTTGTATGATTATTTATCAATCAAATGTTTGATTATAATTGTAAAAATTCTTCCATAATACAATTTCCACTGGTTAATATTTGTAGTATAATTTTTAATTAATAATGTCCTATTCTTACATTGGGATTGACTTGTAATTCCATAAATAAACAATACCTACAGCCAATAAAATTAAATGGACTTTTTATTCAAAGTTAATTCTACTCAATTAAAAGAAATTCGATAACAATCTGTACAATACTCAAATAAATATAGTGGTTTAAAGTCTGTAAAAATCTTATGAGTACATTTCCCTAATAAATAGTATTCATAAATTTTACTATGTTCAGATACACTCAAAGCATCAATTTACGCAATATTTTTGTTTAAAATTAAGCGTCTTATATTGGATCAAATAAATTATTATATGAAGTAGATTATAGAAATTGAACGTAAAAATTATTATAATCTTGTTTATATTTTATATAAATACAATAAAAGTGAAATAATATGAAATTTTATAAATTCTATTCTTGCAAATATTGCAAAATAAAAAAAAATTTGTAAAGTGTATACTTATATTTTATATTGTAATATGAAATATAATTATTAATATTAGATGTCTAATAAAAATATCGGTCATTAAAATTCCACATATTTCTAAAAGACTGAACAATGACATTAAATAATAATCATTAAATAATATCTTTCCAATTCTTAGCAAATCAAAAAAACTAATGTACCACTAATGTACCACCTAGTTTGAAACATTCATCAAAACATTTCTTCTATTTTACTACTTACTAGCTTTGATTCAATTTGTCAATTTTATTATATTTTGTATAACAATAATTGGTGAAAAAAATAATGAGAAAATGAACTATATCAAGAAAAACAAAAAGAGTGTCGTTTCATCCATGAATTTGAAATAGATCAATGTAATCAATTAAATGTTTCATTAAATAAAATTTGAATTGTAAATAATTTTAGACTTTTTTCGATCCCTAATCGAAATCGCTATAAATAAATGATAGGATTACATGTTTTGGCAATACAAAGGGGCTCATTAAGTTTATTAAGACCTGCCCGAATAACCGATCACTATATTGAATCTCAAAAAGTTAACAAAAATTCGTTAAAATTTGATTTGGGATAACACGTGACATAAATCTCACTTTCCCCGGATTGTTGTTAATTTTAACCGATTAACCGATTCTTTCATCGATTAATCGTCTTAACGTTAATCTAATTTAACCGAGCCGGAAATAATGAAATCAATAATGAACTTACATAAAAAGTTCGATAATCATAATTTATGATCCGATGTAGAGAGGCTTACTGCTGACTTACTGCTTTAGACATCTAAATCAATTCTAGTCTGTCATACATTGTACATAATGTGTTAAATAACGTCATTATCACATAATCTTAAAAAACTTGTCTATTTCAAGATTGATGTCAATTATTCTCTTAGAGATATCTGATATCCCACTTAATGTCCTATAAAATTGTCGCATATAATCACATTCTCACCTTTGTACTTTTGCTTTCAGGCGTATTTTAATACATTCATTTTTTTTTTTTTTGTAATTAGGGTTAGTGATCATCACGCTTTTGTTCGGCATTTCCAAATGCATCATACAAAAGCGGTTACACACAATTTTTTTTAAAATAAAGGTTAGTATTGATTTAAATTTTCTAACTTATCCATGAATTGTTTCTCTGATTTTTTGTTATTCAATTATGGGAAATCGTTATATTGATGATGATGATATATATAATTTCGAAGAAAATGAAGCATTATCATGGAGACAACCGAATCAAAGAGAAGAGTATGTTATAAATGATCTTCCGGAATTTTTTTTTCTTTCTTTTTTTTTTTTTTTGAAATTTAGATTTTTATCTTTTCTTTTATAGAACAAACGTTTACACAAATAATGAACGGAATCCACCAACTCAAAAAAAAATTGATATTTTGACTGAATTTGATCCGGTTAATACGACTAATAAGAATCGGTTGGTAATTTTTATTAAATTAATCATTTTATTTTCGTAAATTATCTCTTTTAATTATGAAAATATCAGTCATAGTGAAGGCTATGATATGAACGTATTTTTTGGCGAAGAAAAAGAAGCATTAAACTGGAAAAAACAGTATGGAGATGTTTCTCTGATGTATATACATATAAATATTGATTATTTAATGTTTTTTTATCTTTCATCCTTCTCAAAAAAATTTTTTTTTTTTTTCTTTAAAATCATTATAGAGAAGACGATATTAATAATAACGAAAAAAAGGATGCACAGTCTCAAACAAGAGAAGAGATTATAGATGAGCTTGATCGGTTAGTAATTTTTTTTCTTACTTTTTTTTTTAATTTGATAAAAAGTGATAATAGTAAGATTTATATTTATTTAACCTTGTGGGTACTCGTTATTAGCGAAAGTGATGACACAAATTTATATGAAGACATTGAAGCTATATGGCGACTACCGGTTAAAAAAGAAGAGTATACAGCCAATTTTAGTTCAACTGATACATATAATATATCTGAAAGCGTTCGGTTAGCTATTTTTTTTTTTTTTTCTTTGTTTTCGCAGAAAATAAATTAGTTTTCTCATTTCATATATGGTGTTTCCTAAAAGGCATAATAAAAACGATGATAAAGGTGATAAACATAAACGAGATTTAAGTGAGTTTGATCCATTTAATAAATCCGACAGGATCCGGTTGGTATTTCTTTTTTTTATTAGTTTTCCTTTTTTTTCCTGACATGTTAAAATTATACTCATCTATTTACATATTCTTTTTGCTTTGATAACTTGTTATCACAATAGAGAAACCCGCCATAATAATAACGGTGATGTGCAAAATATAAATTTACTTGATGACGAAGAGAGTACATTAGCATGGAATAATCAAATAGTAACGTATGTAAATTATTTTCTAGTCAATATACTTGAATGTATTGTTTTATTAATTTGATAATTAAATTTTTTTTCAAATTATTTTTTCTTCAAAAATCATTATAAAGAAAAAATAATGAACCCGTGGATGAAAAAGAATTAACATGGAAGCCTCAGAATCAAAAAATAGAAGTGTATGCAATATATTTGAACTCGTTATTACAATCTTTATTATTTAATGATAAAATTTTCATTCTAAATTGTATTTTCTTTTGAAAGTCATTTTAATGGAAATGGAAATATTGAGCACGAAAAGAAAGAAACATTATTACCGAAACAACAAACTCAAAAAATAAATGAACTCATTATTGATTTTGATCCATTTAATGAATCTGTCAGGGATCGGTTGGTATTTCTTTTTTTTCTTTTTTTTTTTTTTTTTTGTATTTAAAATAATAAAATTTTTTTTCATTTTTCATAATCGTCTTTTTTTTTTCTTTTCAAAGAGGAGAGAATATAGCCAATTCCAGTTCAATTAATAATATATTTGATATATCTGTTTGGTTGGATTTTTTTTTTCTTTTTTGACTCCACAGAAAAATTAAGTTCTTATTTTTCATATACTGATTTTCTCTTTTAATTCATTAGGGAAAGTTTCTACGACAAAAAAAATGATGCAGTCGATAATAAAACTCTAGGTGAAATACCTGTTCCAGTAAAGAAACATGCACAGACTCAAAAAAAGGGGGAGATTATAAATGAGTTTGATCCATTGAGTATATTAGACACGATTCGGTTGGTATTTTTATTTTGTTTTATTTTATTTTCGATACCAGATTTATTATTTTCATTTTACTTATACAATTTCTTGTTGTTTTGTTAGAGAAACAAACCATAATAAAAGCGATAATAAATATGATATAAATTTACATGATGACGATGAGATGGATGCATTAGAATGGAGGCAGCCTATAAAAAAAAGTGAAGAGTATGTAAATTATTTTTTAGTCAAAATACCTGATCGTATATTGTTATTTTTTTTTCCGGGTTAATAAAATAATTCTAATTGTTTTTCTTTGAAAAATTTGAAAGACATCATAGTATAAATGATGATGCAAATAATGAATACGAAAAGAAAGAAACTTCATCAAAGAAACAACATAGTCATGATGAGATAGTGAATGAGTTTGATCCATTTAATACATCCGACAAGAATCGGTTGGTTTGAAATTAGTATTTATAATACTTTTCATTTTTTCATAACTTTTTTTCTTTGATTAATATGAAACTCATTATAATTAAAAATAGTTATGTAAATATGCAAGTTAATAAAGAGAAACCTGTATTATCGTGGAGAGATAATGAACAAGTAGATGATGGCCCTACGCGAAACAATAATCCTGACGCAACGTGGGTGGTAAATAATAATTAATTTATAAAATTCTTCTCTTTGTGTTATAGTCTTTTGGTTTTTCTTGAAATAAGATTTTTTAAAAAATTTTTAAAGGGTCCTCCACAATTTAGTTCGCTTGAGATTCTTGGTGAGAAAAAGTCGCATTTAAAACGTATTGAGTCAAGCACAAATACGCATATGAATTATAAAAAGTATGAAGATGTAAGTACGCATGCTTTATTATGAACATATTATTGTCAAATTTCATCAATGATTTTAAATTATAGAAAATTGAAATAGAAATATGGGGATCATATGAAGAAATTGTGGAAGCTAAAAATCAATTGAATGAACATGTTCAAAGTTTGTTAGGAGGGAAAGGGTACGATCAAAGTAGAAAATATGATAAAAGGAATAGACAAGAATTTTATTCGGAACCTGTTCCTATTAAGAACAAGCAGGAGCTTGAGTTGAAACGCAAAAAAGAACAAGAACTTGAGTTAAAACGTCAAAAGGAACAGGAACTTGAGTTGAAACGTAGAGAAGAACATGAGCTTGAGTTAAGACGTAAAGAATCGGAGTTAGAGGTAAAACGTAAAGAATTGGAGCTAGAGGTAAAACGTAAAGAATTGGAGCTAGAGTTAAAACGTAAAGAAGAACTGGAATTTGAGTTAAAACGTGAAGAAGAACTGGATCTTGAGTTAAAACGTAAAGAAGAACTGGAACGTAAAGAAGAACTGGAGCTTGAGTTGAAACGTAGAGAAGAACTTGAACGTAAAAAAGAACTGGAGCTTGAGTTGAAACGTAGAGAAGAACTGGAACGTAAAAAAGAACTGGAGCTTGAGTTGAAACGTAAAGAAGAGCAGGAACTTGAACGTAAAAAAGAACAGGAGCTCGAGTTAAAACGTAAAGAAGAGCAGGAGCGTGATGATGAAATTTATTTACAACGTCCAGGTTATTCGCAAAGGTTCCCCTTCAATGAGTACTTTGTCTTTCCTACAACCGATATTCATATCTCTCGATTTATTGGAGCAAAAGATGAAATTTTGAACCCAGTACGTACTAAATATAAGTGCCATATTTGGCATGATTCAACTCTACCAGGTTCAAATGTAAGTATGATTTATTCAATATTCAATTTCTAAATTTTAATTAAATATGTCTAAATATTTTAGTTTTTTCTTTTCTTAGATAATAAAAATTGTTGGTAGTTCAAGGGAATCTGTAGATATAGCAACAACGCGGGTCAAGAATTTGTTCATTAAAACACTTGCAGTATGAAATATAGTTTCTTGATCATTTCAAATTTACCACTTATTTATTCTAAATTAACGAATGTATTTTTCTTTTAGTCTAGATCTATTCCTCATGCAACGCAAGTAGCAGATAGTCTCTTAGGAGTTCATCATATTGTAGAACAACCGCATGAGCCTTGTGAGATTAGAATAGCGGATCCATCAGCTCGTTTCTATCTATACTATTTACCATTTTATGAACCTAAAGTTAAACTTATTAAACCAGTTTACATGCCATCAGATTTATATTTTGATTTTTTTCATGAGTAAGCTGTTTTTTTATTAATAGTTGTAATCCAGACTTTATTAGATAATAACACGTATAATTTCAATTGACATCAGGATTCGTGAGTCAAATCTCAAAAGGGTCGAGGACTCTCTTCTTAGAGCTTTGGAAACTGTCCATTTATTAGATGAAGAAATCAAAATGCGTGTTAGGTACAGTATGTGTATAATAGATTATGTGTTCATAAAGTTTATTTCTTATCAAAATTATTCGCATATACAGATTTGGTCATGTGTGTTTCACGCGTATCCCTCTAACTAAAGATTTCAATAACGATGCAACATTAACTATTAATGAACTAAATGAAAAGGTTCTGAAAAAAACTCGTACAGAATCTAAATTTGCTACACGGTAATCATTTATAATTAATTACTATTAAGTTATCATTATTTTTATAGAAATTTAAGAATTTTTTTTTTTTTTTTTCCTTAGAATTGCCACTGAAGAAAGTCAATTGATTGGGTTAATTGAGGTTCTTTCCGGTAATGATCTAGGATGTTTTGGTTCCCCGAATCGAGAATTTAAGATTCACGCAACTCGTAAAACAAATGATAAAGAGTGGCCGTGTGCTTTTGATTTGGAGCTTAGGAATGGTAATGAAAGTAAACATAAGAAGTATGATGGGAAGATCGGATTATGGAGCGCTATCATACATGATAGAAACGTATTAGACATTAATATGTCATGTTTGGCTAAGTTAGTACTATATATATAATATTAGGTAATATTGTTTTTATAGACATTTTAAATTTATTCATTTTAAAACAACAATAGTGAATATTCATGGAAGCTTCAAATTAAAACTGCAAAACGTCTTTTTAATACTCCCCCTCAAGAAAATTTTATTAATGGATTAGAAGTTTGGTAATTAATGACTTTTGTAATACTAGAGCAAAAATTATTTACTAATAATTAATTTATATGAATAATTATATAGCCCACAAGGTCGTTTGATTTATTCAAATACTAAAGACATAAATGTAGTTTCTGTATATGAGAAAACAAAATGGAAGTACCAGTGGAATAGTGATTACATTGTAGAAATTGTTAAATACGAATTCTGGGAAAAATTATCAAAATATCATGATATTCAAGGGCTGCCAGTTTATTTGAGAGAAGAACCATTTGTTGTTTCCTATGGAGTAAATGTAAGTAAAATATTTTTAAGTTATTATTTTTCTAATTAATGAAATTCTTATTTCAATTTTATTCTTAATGTATAGTTTTACAAAAAGTCTTGGGACAATAACTTTGCAAATAATCTTGACTTGGACGTTGGAGAAGCTCCTGAATGGCATCCTCAAGATATTATGGATGATCTTACGGAAGAAGGAAAAACAGAGGGTGTTGATGGTTTGATGAATGATATTAAAACTTTCTTAGATGTATTAGAAAGTAAGATTCCAACGCCAGCTGAGCATGAGTTATGCGATACATAGTAAGTGATCTCTCGTACAAATAATTTTTTTTATTTCTCAGAATTTTTTAAAAGTTATAATCACTCACGTAATACATTCTCAGGATTCAATTCGTCATAATGCTTATAAAGGTGAATTCATATAGTTCATTCAATATCTTGTTAGTCAACATATATAATATGATATTACCAATACATATAATAAGATATTATTAAATCGTATTTACTATAAATTGTAAATTGGAAACAATATTTTTTTTATATATATATATTTAACTTATTAGATCCTTTTTAGATTCTTTTTAGATTTTTAAACAAGACTTTTTAAGCATTTCAAAACCATTATATTTCTTTTTTCGTCATAATAATTTGTACAAAAAGAAAAAAAATTGTATTCATTATTTACATCAAATTTAAGAATAAAATTAACTGAAAAATAATGTACAAATTTGTTATGAATTTAAAATTTCGGAATTTATCAAATACTTAATTTCAATGGGTCTAACGAGAAGCTGAATTATTACTACAAAATATGGAAGCGTAGATGCTGAATATAAATGACTGAATATAAAAAGATTGTTCAAATTAAGGGAAGTGTTTAGATATGATAGAAAACTAAGGATGAGGAAAAGCAAGTTATATAGGGATCCTAACCACGAAATTTCCTAAATGGAACGAGACAAAGAAGTAACAGCGAAGGATAGTAATAGATGAGATAGTAACTCATACCAAATTTCTTATCAACAATTAATTTTTTCGCTAAAAAAAATCATATTTGCATCAGTGCATGAAATTATTATTATAATTTTTTTTTTATGAAGTTTAAATCAAATAATTATTTAATTACTAAATTCATCAGCGAGATATTACATATGAAAGTTCATGAATCTGCAAAAGGAGAAATAGGGATACTTTGAATTGCTAGAGATGCTATTCCCTTATTGAAAATCATCGAGAAAAACAAGAGGGTTATAGCTTTTTCAACGACGTAGTCATATGAAAATATACATCTATCTAATAAAGCAATCGTAAGATCACGATATAACCTAACTAATTATATGTCTAAAACACAATAATAAAATTTTTTGTATGATTAAAAATTTTATCAATTACATGCTAAAAAAAAACAACAAAAAAAAAAAAAAAAAAAAAAGATTAAAAACTAAACAAATCTAACAATTGATAATCAACTATCACTATTTTTCTTCTTTTTAGAATCTTCTATATTACACATCCAAAAAACATCCTATTATAGAATTCTTTTTTTTCAATTATAAAATGAAAATGAAAAAAAAAAAATGAGTAATTGTTCAACTTAAAATTGATGATAATTCTATCTCAATAATTTATCAAATAATCATATAAAGGGAAAAACGATTTAGAGAACGTTTTTTAATTTTGAAAATAATTTAATTTTTAATCTTTTTAACTTTTCAAAATATTCTAGAGTTACCTCCCATTTCAAAAATTATTTATTAATTTTCTTTATCTTTTTTATTGAGAAATCATGATTTATCAAATTTTTAAAGATTTATATTTTAAAATTATATATAAATTATATTTATCTTATATATCTAAAAATTTTATTTTATGTACAGTAATTCAAATTATTATGGGTTAAAAATCAAAACATCCCGAGAAATTTATAATAATCTATGTAAGTTCATATGAATAACAATTTATTATATTAATAATTATAACTTTATCATAATTTAAATAATAACAATTAAATTGTTTTAAATCAATTTCTTCTATTAATTCAATTAGATATCTTTTGAGAAAAACTTTTACTACAAAAATTTGTTTCCTGGTTTTAAAAATGCGATTAAATAATATTGAATAATTAAGTATTGATCAAGAAAAGAGGTAAGAGCTGAAAGGTCAATTAATCTTTGACATAGAATATCTCAATGTTGCCCTTTCTACTGCTGTTAATGTTTCCCTGTCCTTTGTAGATTTTGCAAGTTACGAAACATTTTTACTAAAAATATCCTTACCATGGCAGTAATACCTATTTCTCTGCTGTGGCTGGCACGCATTATCTCCCCGCTTCTTTGCTGTGGCTGGCACGCATTTTACAATATTATTTATCCAAGGAATTTCTTGTCAACTAATGCTGGCAATTCATCCTCATCATTTCTGGCGGTGAAGTTTGTTTATGGTGGTGGTTTTGATAGAACTGCTGTGCATCGGGAAGAACATTACCTACACGTGTCTTTTGCTAAAATAAAAAAAATTAATTAATCTTAAACTATACATTCTCGGGTGAAGATGCTCACAGGCTTGGATATATCATCGTAATAAATTTGAGGGTGACAAGAAATGTCACCACGCAAGGGATAGTAATCGTCTATCTTATTCTGTTTTAAAGTAAGTGATTTGGTCGTCCTAAGAATTAAAATACAATATGAATGATCGATTTATCAAAAAAGTCTCCATCGGTACCTTTGATTTGAATCACATGATTTCCAGTGAACTGCTTTATCTTCATTACGTGAAAATTCTCTATATTCAGACGCCACTGGAACGCTTCTGGTTTTTCCTTTATGCAGAACAATTTTTCAAAAACAACGCAAATTTAACAATAATACTTGCAAAAAAATCGATAATGAAAAATGTAAGTGCTGAATAAATAGCTATCCTTTAGACTAAGTCCTTCTTTATGTTATCCATTATTTTCTGCAGATTCTTTTGCTCTGAATTCTCCCGATAATATACTGTCATACTAATGCATGACCAGTTCTCAGACGTGAAATCATTGAAAAAATGCTTTGAGAGTGGATATCAGTTTTTGTGGTCATGCTTGTATACGCAAGAAGAAAATGTTTCGTAATGAAGTTGAAATACCAAATTTTGGATTTGCAATATGTATGATTCAATCAGACAATGCTCTAAGCCACAAAAAATTGTCTAATTATCCTAATACGCGCTTCCAATTTCCATGAAGAGGCAAAACTTCGATTTTGAATCACCCTACATAAAAGATTGTGTATAACGGTAAATTGCATATTTACATTGTGAAATTGAATTTATTAGTTGATTTATCACCAATTCTTTTTCTTTATCATACGCCATGTGTTAGTGTATTACACACGATAAATTCAAATGCTCTTTATTGCAAACAACTCTAGCTAATCAGAAATGATAGATGCTATCAAAAAGTGAGGGAGTATGCGGATCCTAGGCATTAATGTGAGTCCCAGCATCATGTTATTTCTTTGCTCTCCTAAGATTTTTACACCTAATTTATTTTATCATTATTGTAACTACCCAAAAACTCTTTTATTAAACTAAATCTCTAAAATAAATTATTCTACCCATATCTACAGAATTTTAGCCTAACTATATCGCTCTCACCCGCACAGACTATGTAAATAATATTTCTCTCAAAACTTCTTGCAGATAAATGGATTCACTAACTTGGGTAGTACCTTTTTATATAATTTGCAGTGGGTCTAAGATCTTTGGAGAAAAATTACATTATCCGTACCAAAGGTAACAATATTAATTAGGAATTACGCGTTTTGACTAATGCTAATGAGTAATATAAATTATTCCGTGGCAATTGAGTCGATCTGATCCGCCTCCCAATTCCATTTTCGTTTCATTCCAATATCATGATCTTTGGCACTAAGGGGCTCTGGAACAATCCTCATAAATCATTAAAGAGTCACCGACGACTAATGTTCATTTTCTGTTTAATATAAGTTGAATATTTTTGTTAAATTCAAGAGTTCCTGTTCATTTCTCAAATATATGCTAAAGGTTAAGAATGTATATCTGAAGAAGATCAAGATACCTATTTCATACACTTATAGGCCTTTAATTTATTCTCTATCAGTTGGAAAGATTTCATGCTTTTTGGAACACTATTATTAGGAATTATTTGGAAGATATCCCGGAGCAGACCGGGGTTGTTTGTTCTTGGAACCAATTACTGCTCTTCTAAAAAGCCTACTGTAAATTAGATGGATTTGAATGTTTTGCCTATAGCAAAGTTTCTACTCAATAGATGATACAAGTGAAAGCTGCAATGGTACATGACACTCCAAGTGAAGAAAAGACCATCTTTGGCTGTTATTACTGGGTCTTATGTTCAAGGACTGGATTGGGCTATTAGTAGACAGAATCGCGTTAGAGACACATCAAAAATGCTTTCATAGGAGGATCGCGCGTGAGATAAGAAACAAGCATCCAAATTACCGACCAAAGATCAATGCCGCACCAAATGGAATTCATTGAAGTTAGGTACGAGGACCTTGAGCGCTTATTAAACGGGATTTCCGACAGAATCAATCAGGAATCATTATATTAAATTCAGCAGTCAATAATTGATCCTGTATATATTATAATTGTTGTAGTTAATCTTATCATGATAAATAATACTCTCTGGATAACACCGATATATATCTTACTTACGTCTGCAGATTTGATGGTGTAGCAGACGATTTAGATGCCTCAACATTTTATTGGATTTATTTAAGGCATTAATATGGGAATTGGGTTTATGTGTTTCATGCAATCATTTCTGCAGTACTATACTAAATAGATAAAAGATGTTTAAAAAATTTTTAGATTAACAGTTTCTGGGATTATTAGTTTATGTAATATTCTTTAGAATTATTAGTACAATATTAAATTTGAATTAATTTTTGATTGCTTTTAATTTTTTATTATCTATAGAGCTTATATTATAATTATTAATTAATACAGTAGTTAGTTTAGCCATTTTTGTTATTAAATAAAAACGTACTATATTAATAACAAAATTATTTTTTTTGCAAAATTTCCTGAATAAAATGCATGATTGTTTGTGGAAAAAAGTTAATTTTAATACCATGTCCTAAAAATCTTTTATTTCCTATTATAATTATTATTACTTTGAAACAAAAAAAACATATTTTAAGATTACAATAAACATTAAGAATTGAGAATAGTTTTAAATTCAAATCAATGAGAAAAAAAAGTTTATTTACAAAATCAAAAGACTCATATTATTATTATATATATATATACATCTGTTTTCTTGAAATTTTTTCTAACATGAAATTCTCAAAGTTAATCCATAAATTACAAACAATTAGAATAACGAAGATAATCACAATTTTTTTAAGGAAAAAATTTTAATTGAGAAAATGGTTTATTTTAAAGATTTTTCTAAATTTTAATTATGATTTAAAATATTTCAGTATCAAAACTTAAAAATAATTGTAAATTACATAATTTTATTTATTGAAAATATTACCTAAAATTACATTGTAAAATAAAGAAGAATACTAAGATATCACAAACAATTTGATTTTTTTTTTATAACTAATTTTTAGGATTATTAGAATTATTGTTTTCATCTAATTAAAATCATATAGTAGTTGTTGATCTTGTTCTATAGGATTAAAGTTCATATTATAATATGATAATAAACCATTTTCAATGGAATTATCATTTTCAATGGAATTACAATTTTCAATAAAATTATCTTCTAAATTGATTGCTTCATCGGGCATTTGAGATGTTAATGTAGTCAAATAATCAATATTAGATCCATCTTCATCAGTACGAGTTTCAATTTCAGTCAAGTCAATTGGAGTTAAACCCAAGAAATCAGTATCATTAATTTGCTCAGTTAATGAAGGTGGAATTGGCCGGGAAGGTAAGATATTAGAAATGTCAAACTGATCATTATTAATAGTCAAAGAAGTTGGTGATACAGAGTTATTAATATCTAAAGATGGGAAATCAGCTTCATCAGAATTTTCAAGTAATAATTTTCGTTTCTTTGATAAAGTCTTTTTATCAGTATGATATAATGAAGCAAGAAATTTTAAAAGTTTATTAAGAGTATTTTGTTGATTAAGATATTTATTATGTACTGAAATAATTTCCTGTAATAGGATTTGATTATCTCTTTGAATATTCTTTAAATTTGCATTTAAAGTCGTCTGATATTTTTTAATTGAATCAATTTCATTTAATATATAATTCATATCTCTTCTACTAGATTCTTCTACATTATGTGTTGGAATAGTTTCTTGCCATTGAACTTGATTATTTCTTTGAATATATTTCAAAGTTGCATTAATAGTTGCCTGATATTTTTTAATTAAATCAATTTCATTTAATATACGGTTTATATCCACTTCATTTGGCTCTTGTTCTTTTATATTTTCATTACCATTCCCTTCTTTGCGAGTATTTGGCTCTTCTTTTATACTTTCATTATCATTCACTTTCCTGCGAGTAATATAGCATAAGAGTTCCGGTTGATTACAAAGGAAATGTTTATGACCAAATTCCCATTGTTCAGATTGTTCATCAGATTGAAGTACTCCTTGTTGAAGGTGTGGTATTTTATGAAATCCATACATGTTTAATTGTCTAACGAAACTGCTAAAGTTGTTATGCTTAAAAAATTTAGGAAGAATTTCTTTTGCAAATTCTTGAGGTTTTTTTACAATAAAAGAATTACCAGCCCCAGACCAGGTAATTAAATCATTTGACCGAGGATCGCTAACCATTTTATAAAGTTTCTTTAAAAAGGCTGGCACACCTTGGTTACCCATTTTTTCTGAAACTAAATTATTTGGAAGAATAAAATTAGGAAACAGTAAAACGAGAATAAAGGAAAGAATAAAGTATATAAAAAACCAAAAAAACATTCAAAATTTATTTAGCAGGATTAAATATAAAAAAATAGCTTGATTATATTTTATCAATCTGAAACTATATATATATGTTTAATGAGTAACAATTTATCAATTTCAAGCTATTATTATTTTTATATATATAATGACTCAATATTACTTATGTGAGTTCATAATATTTAACTAAAATTGATCTGATCCGACTCATGACTCATTATTGAGCATAAATTTATATAATTTTTATATTCAGTTTATTTTTCTATGATTTCCTTGTTATTTTTTAACTATATCTTATATTTTGATTTTTACAGAAAATAAAGTTCAATAAAGTATGCTATATTAGTAATAAGGAATTGAAATAGAAATTTTAATTAAAGTTGTTGTATTAAAAATATAAACAATATTTCCTATAATTTTTTTTATGCCTACTTTAAATGGAAGAAAGATTTTTAACTGTAGAATTTCTTGTTGATTTTGATAAAAGCAAATCCATTGAACAAACACCATTATATAAAATTGGGTTTTCTTTCACACAAACTGAAATTATAAAAAATTAATATTCCTAAAAGCAAGAAACTCAGCAATGTAGTATAGGAAAGAAAAAGTACAAGGAATTAACTATATTTTCCTATTGGATAGATCACGTTAGTAAAAAGAGGATATATCAATAAATCTACAAGTTATATTAATTTAAATATCAATTTTTATTAACAATTTTAATGCGCTTTCCTATAATAAATCAATATATTAGTTGGTAATCAAAGTAAATTAACCTTTTTGGATATACTTGTAATATATTAGTTAACAATCTTTATCAAATAATTTAATTACCTAATCTAAAACTGGTAAATCTTTTTCTCATAAAAAGATTAGTCTTTACAAAAAATGCTCTTTAAATATAACAATTTTAATAGACGGAGTTTTGCGAAATAGTTAAATATGTATGAAAATATTATACCCTTAACAAGATTTTTGAAAGAAAATTAATAAGCTATAATATGCTACAACTTATTCTACAGTTATAGGAAAGAGAAGCATCTATCCAGTATAAGTCTTTTATCTGCTAAGGTAGGTACATTTTTATATAGAATCCTTTAATTAAAGTCTAATAATAATTACAAAACTGATTCTGAAGAGCGAATATCAAATTATCAAAGCTTGTATTTACAACAAAAGCATACAGAGAAACTGGATTGGAAAGAAAGAATGAAGAATTAGAAGTTGAATACAAAAGAATTAAAAAATCACAAGAATTTGAGTAAAGGAAAAAATAAAAAATCGCATGCAATGGTGCTCAAAAAGTTTAAAAAGAAGTAAATGATAATATTGGTTTGCAATAAGTTAATGATGAACAGAATATAATATTTATGTACCTTCTTTTTGAATTGATTTATAGAATTCAGTTCATTATTTACTATCAATCAATTGGTTTTATTATTTAGTTTAAGACCGATAATTCTTTCTCGTGGAAAGGCCTCAAAAAAATGCATTCTTTAATTATCTAATCCAATTTGAACAATATAATTCTGAAAATATAAAAAACTATAGTGAAATTTATCATGGCTCGCAACAAAACTGTTTAGCTTGTTTCTTGAAATTTACTACAAACTATTTTCTATATTTATTATTATCTAGGCGCTTTAGCACATTTTTTTTGGCGCTTTTTAGACTACATGTCACATGATTAGAGTCATCTTCATGATGACAACCGATGATGACACTCTTTCTTTATTAGATGGTATTCGGTAAGTAGATATAATAATTAAAGAAGGAGAAAGGAGAAATGGACTTTCCCAACGCTATAAACTTCAAATCCGTACCTCTTCTAGAATCACCTTAAAGTTCATCAAAAAGGTAATGAACATTATCATGTGGGACAAGCATAGTTCTTCATAATAACTAATAGGTCTATTATATCTACAAGAAGGTTTGACGTAAACTTTCTTCTTTTTATCACTTCTACAGGGTCATACCAATTAATTTTGTGATATAGATATTAAATTCATCATCTTCTACATGAAGATATTTGATCCAAGTTCAACAGCGTTCATCAAGAGGAAGTCTAGTTTCAGCCGCTTCTTGCATAAGAAATAGGTGGTTTCTGTAATTATTAAGTGATCATGTTCAGTCTAGCATGCATATTGTATTTTTACACCATGTTTAGACAATAATTCTTTACACTTACCATATTAATAATTTAGACTATGTGCCAAGAAAAGAGAATCAAGAAATCGGTAGTTCAGCATTTATTTCGCTTTTAGAAGAGGTTAAGTTGGACTATCAAGATGCGACCGATTTGAATCATCCTTGAACCAACAGTCCGTCTTAAGAGTGGTCCCATAATTTGTGTTTGAGCTGAATCAATTAAAAGATGAAAATTGGAAAAATCCGGTGGTAGAAAGCGAAATTTTCCTGCTACCGTAAGTGAAGACAAGGAATATTTCGATCCTGAGATTATTCCTTCGAAAAAAAATAGCTAAAAAGATCATAATTTAAGCATGAGATCAATCAAATTGAAGGTATTTTTCATAAATAAAAAATTCGAAGCATTTATTTACGATTTTTCTAATGTGTTCTATTTAATTTAACGCGTTCTATTTATTTAATTTAATTCTTTATATGTATTTTAATTTATTCAAAATTATTTTTTCTTATATTTAGCGCGTACTTTTGAACTTTTTTTCATATGATCTCTTCCAATAATTGGTGTTTTGAAGTTTAGTATTCAAGATTTTTTTTTTTGGCAACATAAATAATAGGAAAGACATCTATATAATATACAAACTTAAAGTCCGATGGAAAAATGCACCATAAACAATTTGTTTTGAAATATATACAAGAAGATATTGCTGTATAGACCGATACTATTGTAATCGGAGTACATCGCAAAGGGATAGAAGCAAAGAATAATTTACGTATAGTATGTAACTAAGATAATCAGATAATTATGGTAATATATATAAATCCTATTTTAGATGATTATAGGGATGGGGACGGTTCGTTTTAGTTCCATTCGGTTCGCCGTCGGTTCCTATTAAGAAAAATATGAGCTACATGTGTCAAATTAAAAAAAAAATTTTGATTGGTTACTGTGCATTTTTTAAAATTATAATAACTTGATAACAACATTATTCGGAGTTATAATAAAAACATTTTTAATTTAATATATATATATTTGAATTCACTACCATACGAAGGAAATATTATCTTAAAAAATTATCTCCACTTGTTTTATGTAAACATTATTTCTTACACATATATCATCGTTTATAAATATTTCACACGAAAAAAAAAGAATGCTTGTTTTACGCGAATAAAATATTATCTCCACATACAGTATATACGCATATTAAAGTAATCTCACGTGGAAGACGGAAATATTATCTCTGCTCATTGTTTCACACAAAAAAAATACTAATTTTGTTAATAGTGAAATTATGAGCAATGAAGATAATATTATTTTAACATATTACCAAGTGATATATCTTCTGAACCGGAAGATACAGAAATTTATATTGCGAAGCATGTACGGTAATTGCTAAAAAATAATCCACTCGCTAGTTTCAGAGTATTCCCAACAAGTGAGAATGGTATTGTATTATATATAGTGTTGAAGGATGTTGAAGGATGAGGAAATAAAGAAGCGGCGTTTCCAGATGTAAATATTTGTTTAAAAGAATACAGTATATTGCGAGAAGAAATAATAATAATAATACTAATTTTATTTTAAGATTCAGTATTATTCAGTATTCTATGAGTAGAACCGGTGGTCGAGAATCTTTCCGAAGAATCGTTAATTTTCTTTTCTTTTTTTCTTCGCTTTTGAATTAATCCAAAATGGCGTTACCACCGATTTTTGACGTTCGGTTAGGTAGTAACAGAAAAATAAATAAGGATCAGTTAATAGTCGCAAGGCAATATGACGTTAAATATCAAGTGTTAAAGCAAATCGGATAATGTATGCGCAAATAATGAGATGAATAATAAAGTAATTAAACCGTGTATATATTAATTAATTTATAATCGGAATCAAATTGTGTATAGACAATTAAACGATATATAACAAAAGGTCAATATAGGATAATGAACACTTTAACGAAATGAGAATTATAAGAAATCGGAAACAAATAGGCAGGATTTATTAACACTTAAATACAATATTACTGCCTCTATCGGCGCTCTGTAATATTCGTATATCTATCTTTTGAAAAATAAAACCAAGCACTTTTTCTCTACTGCTACCCAAAACCTTCACCATCGGTCGAATATATATCGGCTGAAATCTGGTACTATTTTGCTTATCGGACAAATTTACCATCTGGCTAATTTTTCTTAGCCACCCATCTCTAAGCCTCCCCTATACCATAAAAATAAACTATTTAAATAAATATATATATATAAATTAAATTAAAGATATAAAACTAATATAACCAAATATTACCTATAGCTATATATCTAAATAGTAACAATAACTAATTAAAAGAAGCCGCAGCATATTATATACTAATAAAAGATTCCAGAACAATAGGAACAATACAAAAAGTAGACCATTGAACGTGCATGCCATAAGACGATCCCTGTAGTGTTATGAAATAACCTGATTAATGACTAAATGACCGACCAAAATGTTTAAAATGTTTTTCATGAACACGTGATCTTTTAATAGCGCTCCGGTCGTTCCGTATAATCACACTTCTTTACAGTCACATTTATGAGCCGACTTCTTACGTTATTACAAAAGTCTTTGTTCTTTAAAATTGCAAACAAAAAAGAAAAAGAAAAAAAGCATTTTCCAAATTAATCCATGATTGACAGTAATTGTTATTGTCCGTATTTTTGATAAAGGAGGCTAAACTTTAAAGTCTAGACACAGATCGACGGCAATTGTTTAACTTAATTAGGGATAATAACCCAAACAAAATATAAATTCAGGTAGGATCCCCCTTTTTTGAACTTATCTTTTTTCTTTTTTTAATCCTCTCCTTTGTTTAAAACTATGGATTTTGAACTTGTTCCAAGTAGTAATCCGGATATATGTGACTTCGAAGAGAAGGAAGCGTTGCTATGGAAGCAGCCGACACAAGAAACCTTAAATGAAGACCTCGAAGAACAACACAACAAACCAGTTAGCCCCCCTGACGAAATTTGGATTGTAAGTGAATGAAAAAATATTTTTTAAATAATAAAGATTAAAGATTTATCTTTTTTTAAGGTCCCTCCGCTATTTAAATCGATCGAGTCATATTTAGACAATATTGAAAAAAAAACAAATACGTTTATGATTCTTAGTAAAAATGAAGGCGTAAGCGAGTTTTACTTGAATAATAAAATACATTGCAGAACAGTTTCATTAATAGTATTATTAATTATGTTTTGACAATATTTTAGAAAATCGAAATATGGGGAGCGCCTGAAGACATTCAGGAAGCTATCATACGACTTAATAAATTAAACGATAATAAACTCGACTACGTGGAAGAACGCCGAAAAAATGAAAAACGTGAATGGGCTATTAAAACAAAGGAACCTGGTTGGGGAAAACCTGAAAAAGCTCCTACTAGTAAAAAAGAAGAAAAAAAGTTGAAGCGTAGAGAGGAACGAAAACGTGAAGAAGAAATCTACAAAAAAAAACCAGAGGAATCACAAAAGTTTCCCTTTAATGTATATATTGTCTTTCCCTATACCGAAATTCAAGCAACGATATTTTTCGGGGATAAAGAAGTGCTCTTGAATCCAGTGCGTGTTGAGACCAAATGTCATATATGGTATGAGAAGCGAGTGGGTGGTAAAGGCGTAAGTATTGTGTAAATAATGTTACATCTTTAGATCCTAAATAAATATATTAAGTTGTTTTTTCCTTTTAAAAACTTCAATAGATAATAAATATTGTCGGAAAAACAAAAGAATCAGTTGAAGAATCAACAAAGCGAGTAGGGCATATGTTTGTAAAAACGTTTAAAGTATGAAATACAATTTCTTATCCATGAATTACCCTACTTAATTTATTTTTATATTAATTTAATTTTTTTTTTTTTTTTTTTTACAATTTCATACATGTAAATAAAAATTTTTTTATAAATTTTTTTAAACTGTAACTTTTTTTCCAAATATACTATATATTAAATCCATACANTTTTTTTTTTTTTTTTTTTTTGCTAGGCTAGATCCGTCCCTAACCATGGCTGGGTACTTCATGCCTTAGATCCACCAAACAAACCGTACCGAATCAGAATAACGGACCCACCAGATTATTTTTATTTACCTTACGAAAGATTAAATTCAGGCTCACAAAATTCAGGCTCACAAAATTCAGGCTCACAAAATTCTGGTTCACAAAATTCAGGCTCACAAAATTCTGGTTCACAAAATTCAGGCTCACAAAATTCTGGTTCACAAAATTCTGGCTCACAAAATTCTGGCTCACAAAATTCTGACCCACTAAAGTATAAGCTTATCGAGCCCGTTTACGAAGGAAAAAGGATATCAACCGTTGGAGGTTCTAAGGAAATAAACCAAAACTTCAATATTGATAAATTAAGAGAGTAAGCCTTTTTTTTAAAAAAAAAAAAAATCTTATCTCGAATATTTATAAGATTATTAAGATTATTTCAATAAATATTTAGAAATTATGAAAAAACTGTAATAGCGATCAAGGAATCTTTCCTTAAGGGTCTTGAAGCGGTCCACTTATTTGATGAAGAAATAAGAATGAGAATTAGGTATATTTTTACGCATAATATTTTTTTTTTAAGGATTATTCAATATTGATTATTCACGAATGCTATATAATTATTATTCAGGTTTGGTCGTATATATTTAATAAACTCCAAAAATTTCTTAATACCAGTTGAAAAACTCAATAATAATGTCCTGTCAAAATCCAAATTTGCTACATGGCAAGTGATCATAAGTCATTATTTTGTTTTTTATATAAATTTTTAATGATATTCTAGATGATTATTTTTTGTTTCTTTTTTAGTCTTGCCACCGAGGAAGAACAACTGAAACGTTTATTTGAAGTACTTTCCGGGGATGGGCAGCAAGAATGGAATGGTTCGCCATTTAGAGAATTTAAAATTTGCGTAGCGCGTAAAAACTTTGACGATAAAAAAGACTCTGATGATAAGAAAGAAGAATTGCCACAATGTATATTTGATATAAAATTTGAGAAGGACCTCATTAAGAGTACTGATAATGGTAAAAATAGTGAGAAATACGAGGGGAAGATCAGATTATGGAACGCAGTAATACACCAAAAAAACATATTAGACATCAACATGATGAGTATAGATAAGTTAGTATATTATGCATATTATTTAAATTGATTGAAATGTTTCTTAATGTATTTATTCATTTATTTATTTATTTAATTAAAAATATTAATTACTTTTTTAAACGAATAGTTATTCTTGGAAATTAAATCTTCAAACGGCAACTCGCCTACCTATTAGCTTTAAGTGTCCTCAAGGAAAATTCGTTAGTAAATTACGAATCTGGTAACTAGAATAAATTTTTTAAGTAACATTAATAATTCTTACTAATTAATTAATTTATGAATAATAAAATAGTCAACAAGGCCGTTTGGTTTATTCAAATACCGAACAAATAAGGGTTATATCAGTATGCGAAAAAACAAAACGGAAATTTTGGTGGAATGATAACTACGTTGTAGAAATTACAAAATATGAATATTGGAACCTATCAAGGAAAATGAAAGTTACTGGGATTGAGTTCCCTTTAAGTGATGAAAAACCGCCTAAAGTTTCCTACGGCGTGACTGTAAGTAAATTGACCATTATTTTCCTTTCTTTTATAAAGTTATGTATTCTTATTCATTATTTTATCGATATAGTTATATAAGTCGACTTGGGAAGATTATTTTGCCCATAATAGTAACTTAAAAGTTGGGGAAGCTCCCGAGTGGCATCCATATGAAATTATGGATGAAGAGATAGATTTGTGGAGTGACATAAAAAGATTTTTAAAAGTACTTCAAAGTAATCATCCAGTGCAAGTAAATAAAAGCTCCTACAAATCAGATGAACGACAGTAATGTATCAATTAGCTAAATATATTAGTATTCATTATTTAAATTCATCATTTCATTAAATTTAATTTTACAAGATATTACAGTATGATATTAAAGATATTTTTACAATAAATTTTATAAGTCATGAAAATTAATCAATATTATTTTGTATTTTTTATTGTTGCAGTTTCTCATCCATTTTTTTGACTTTAAAAGTTTAATCATTTTTGTCTAATATAATATATTTAGCAATTTTTAATATGATTGCTAAACAAATTTCGCATATTTATTTTATTATTTTTATGGGAGCGTCGACGTTTGTTATTAATCCGGTAACTAATTATTTTGGCACTAATCATTTTCTTTTATGAAAATAATCCTAATCAATATAATCAAAATTAAAATGTAACATGTCTATACTACCGAAGTGAAAAATATATTATATACGAACATTTACAGTATATGATTATAAAAATGTTATTATGGAGATTATTATAATATAAATTTATATTTATTTTTTATAAAAATTTTAATTATTAAAAAATAAAAAACATAAAATTCTAATAGATTTATTTAACCTTTGCTCGAGTTGATTAATTACATGATCGATTACGAACGAATAAAATTAATTATTTTAGAATATAATTTTATATTATTAATAATGGAAGAGAAGAAAAAGAATTTAAGATATCACTATAATATTCATTTCCCATAGAGTTTTCTTACTTCTCATAAGATTCACAAGTTTAACAATTAGGATCATATGATAGATCTAAACTTTGATAATTTTGATTTAAGGAAGAGAATTTTGGAACAAGCACATTTTTTCGATCTAATTCTCTTAATTTAATAATACATGAAACAATTTGAAATATGCAACAACCATGGAAACGTAAATAATTTTCTTTCTAATTCGTTAACGGAGATACTTACTATCAGCTATATTACAGTATTAAAGAATATAAATGATGAAAAATGATTATATACAAAATATGCAGTTATGCACTCCACAGAAAATAAATATTGTCATTAATAACTTACAATTATAAAATTTTATATTTACTATTTTAAACTTTATATCGACAAAGATTCAATAATAATATGCTAAGGTAATACAAATGGCACTACAAATTAACTGTACCAATATCTTTTTCAACGCACGAATATTCGTTTGCGAAGATCTTTAAGATTAAAACAGAATCGTCAAACAAGATTATCATCCCAGAATTAATTATAATATTATACTACTACAACAAAATTAATAAAAAAGAAACAATACGTGTAAGAAACAAAAAAAAAAAATTCAAAGGAATTTATGGTGAAATGTTAAAAATTACCATTATAGTGTAATATATCAAATGTATATGAACGTAAGATGAATAATAAAGTTTAAAATTTTATTGTATACTACGAACTCACTAAAAGAGTAAACTTATTAAATTGGTAAATTGGTTAAAGGGAAAAAAGTCACGTGCGATTAAAGAAAGTTTTTTTCTGTAAAGTAAAATTTAATAAAATTGTGTCTTAACGTATTTAGGCAACTACTAGGATCAACTAAAGTGATTTTTATAATTTTGTATATCAGATATATTAAAAGATCACTTTTCCAACTATTACGTTATATCAAAAGATTCACTATCTCAATTACTACGTTACATTAACTGTTTTTTCTTCTAACAATTAAAAGATCATGATGCTATTGTAAGATCTTGAGGTAAAAGATTTCATGATGGTATTGTGGGAATCCACAATAATAAATAATTGAACATATTTTCATTAATTTAATTTTGTCCTAGTAATGCTGGCCAACCCACGTAAGGCATTATAACATTGGGGCAATATTGAGCTGATAATGTAGGCCGGCGTCATCTGACGCAAATCGGCTCTGACGCGCAACATATACAAAAGAGAAAAGTTTTATTATAGAAAAAATTTGTGGAATTATACTGATTAATAATTGATTTTTTCGCCTAATTAAGTAAATTTCATGATAAATATGCAACCTACTATTTTCTTTCTAAAAAAAAAATAATAATAAATAAATTAAGTCGAAAAACAAGTTTAAATACTAATTATTAGATGCAAATCAGTTTAAACTCCTTAATATGTCTTTTGATTGAACTTTCAAGCAAGATGAAATTTTTCTTCAAGACGCTCCATGACCTTGTCCATACCACCGCCATTATAGATTCTAATCAATTTTCATTATAAGTTTCTAGTTGTACCATCTCTAGCCACTTTTTTTATCACTAATTTTTTTACAACGCTAGTTTATGCAATATTTCTTTATTTAGATCTGATAATAATGAAGGATTTGATCGTTTACTCATCGTTAATTCAGAAATAAAGGAAGTTTTGTTAATAAATAAGAAAATTCAGAAAAAAAAGTTTATTAAAATAGAGATATCCAAATGCGTAAGGAACTTAAATACAATAAGATACTTACTAAATTTAAGTAAATGACTCAAGCTTTTGTCAGTCTGATCCATTATTGCAAGTAAGCTTATATTTTTGTGTAACAGCTATAAAATAATTACATTCGTTATTAATTTTTCAACTCATAATAATTTAGCAAATTAGGATCGAAGTAAGCTTCACATCGCCATTGCAGTTTAGCATTAGAAATTTCTCTTAATTATTATTAGTTTTGAATACACGTAATCTAATTTATTTAAATATTTTTTAAAATAGAATTGTAGAATTAATGAAATAATGTTGAAATAATAATTTAGTAAAGTTTCCTTTTCTTTAAAAGTTGAAATTTTAATGTTTAACAACTAAAAATAAAAAGAAGTTTCATCATTAAAACAAAATGTTAATAAATCCGTAATTATATATTATAAGAAAAAATTCTTATTAAATGTGAAGCTATCACATACAGTATATCATGCAAAATATTAATTAATTGGTAATATTCCTATTCTCTTACACTTTCTGGACGACTTGGGCATACATTAGATCTTTTTATATGTTGGAAAACCGTAAACAAACGACATATAAAATGTATGGGCATATAAAATTAATGAGTCTATAAGCAATTTAATTAACACTAAAATATTCCAGATAATGTTTAATTCAGTTAATATAAATTATGTGATTTATAATTTCAGAACGTTAAATTGTCTTTTTTTATTATAGAAATGGATTTGTTAATACAAGAGCCATTTACTATTTGAGTTTTTACACCTCATCAAAGATTAGTAAGATTGGTATTTTTTGAAAATACTTTGTATTTTAAGTATTAACAAAATGTAACAAACCTAGATCTCTTATGTAACCATCTTAACCATTTCGGGTTAGATTAGTTCTCTTTCTTTTTATGATCATTGATCAAATCGCAGTTGCTTACGAATTTTCTTTGTCACAAAGTATACAATCTTACTAAAATTCAAGGAAAGTATATCCCAAAATTGGTATGTTATGGTTATTATGGGGTGGAATGGGTTATGTTATAGGTATGACAATTGTTGGTACTGTGTTGAGTTTCCATAAGATAGAAAAATGGCAAAGAATCGGTCTCTCAGGATATTAAAAATAATTCATAGTCACAACATTCTTCACAACGATATTCGAGAAGAAAATTTCTTATTTAATGACGAAGGCAATATATTTTCTATTGACTCCGGAAAGTCAATTATAACTGATAAAAAGAAGTTGTTTCATCAGGAGGAATCTGAATTATCTATTTATTGAAATGTTACATGTAATTAAATATTGTTATGTGAATATCATTATCTTGATAGTATCTTGATTGTAACTTTCTATATTACACGATTATATTAATTAATAAAGTGATAACTATTTGTTATATTATGCAAAAACAAAGTTAAATTTATAACTGTAAATTGAGCAGCCATCCCGCCCCCGCTTCTAAAAATAAATTATACCAATTTTAGGTCATGCTATTTTAATCATATGAGAATTTTGAACTAGGGCCATATTACAAGTAATTTTTATTTAAAAGTTTTATAAAGTGGCTTATTATTACATTTATACTTTTTTTTTTGCGTATATTTTGGCAAAAAATAAACGCGTTAAATTACAATATTTTCTTTACAAAATCGTACATTTGTAAATAGCTAAACATTATATTATACCCATTTATTTCTAGACATATATTTAACATGTTTATATGTATAATTGTAACTAGAAGAAAATTAATTACGTGGTAGAATGTAATAAGCTTCAAACATATTGATTAGAGTATTCTAATTTTCTAACCTTACCTATGATATTATCGTTCCTCATACTTTTAGAATTTAGGCAACAAAAATATTTGGTTACTTAGCTAAATAAAAGTATTAAATAAAATGTCACAATATATCACATGATTTATGTGTTGTGCTTCAGAAAATGGGATGAGATAGGAAGAAAGTGATACAAATCAATCCCATATCATATGAATTATTAGTAGTGTGGCAGAGCATAGTGTGTAATTCAACTGCACCATACAGCTCTTGACAACAACTTGGCATACAAAAAGAGATGTAAATTTTATCATAAATTATCAAAGCCCAATACATAGCCACATATTATTATTATTATTATTATAGCTTAAAAACATAGCCACTTATTATCAATATAATTCAAAAGTCTAAATACAGGAAAACATGTATAATTAAAGCTTAAGTTATAGCCTCATTCTAAAGTATAGCCACACATATAAGAAATACATTATAATATTACTTTAATTATGATTTAATATTTAAATAAGATACTTATTAATTTGAAATATATAAGTTTTATTTATTAAGAAGAATACTATATATATTAATATTATTAGTTGTAAATTAATTAATTAGCAGGACTTTTATAAAATGTTTTTTAATATATATAAATAATTTTGCCTATAATTTTTTTTACTGTTTTATATATATTTGTAGTAAAGCAAAATTACTATATAAATAATAATTGACTGATAATGCAATATTATGACAAAGGTATAAAACCTGTTATTCACTTAATTTTATTGAATTAATTATATTAGAAATTAAAAAACATCAACTTTGTAATTTACTTATCTACTACTACTTTATCATATGATCATATAATAGCACTCCTGTTACAAAATTTTAGAATAATTCTGCACCAACATCTAATCCAACAGTTAGATCAAACCATTTATTACAGATATCTTTCATCGATAATGTAAATTTATTAAAAAAAACTCCTTTTTTAATTATATATTTTTTATATATATATTTAATGAATTGTTGTGAGTAAAAAATCAGTTATTTATAATAGGCTTATTCCTATGGCTTAGTTATAACCAAATTTAGATTTAATATTAGTAATATATAAATGGATTATTGGATTGTTATCAAAGACTACTAGTGATACTCACCAATAATATTTTGACAATAAGCCACATAATCTGATATTATTATATATAATCAATCAAATGAATTTTTCTAAAAATTATTTAACAGCCTTCAATTTTTTTTATATAATATCTATTTACAAACATGCCAATATAGAAATTATTAATGGATTATTTATACACCTGAATTGCAACAAAATGAATATTAGCAAATACTATTCCAATTTTTAGATCAATGAACTTTATTCATACCAATCACACTATTATTACTATTATTAGAAGAACAATATAAGTACTTAAGGATGGATATGAGCGAACTGATGAGAATAAGCAATATATTAAGAAAGAAAAAGAAGATTTGCAGGAAAGGATGGTTCAATTAGGATGAGATAAAAGAAATTTGGATGGTTAGGCATGTTTATTTGGAATATATTACTACTTTATAAACAATATGATTTATTACCACTATACCAACTACAATTATGACATTAATTATAATAATAGAAAAGATTATTCTAATATATCACAAAATCCTCAATTCTAAATATCAAAATTGGGGATTATTAATGAATTACTTATTTTTCTTATACAACTGCACCAGACAAATACTGGAACAGTTAATGAAATAGGCAGTAGTAACAATTTTAATACTTTTAATATTTAAGTAAGAAGGTTGATTACTTATAGAAATGTTTGGCATAATATAACACACAAAACATGTTGTGATAAAGGAAAAGATAAGGACCAACACAATAAAGCTCTTCAAATTATAGAATATAGATATAGTAATGGGTATTAATGCAGATTTTCATATTGGAAAAACAGAAATATTATACTTTAGCACTCACAAAATGTGCAAATCTTTTGTATAATTAATTCAAGAAAATTAGGAAGATTAAATTGTTAAAAATAGATTGTAATGTAGGGATTGCAATTATAATTCAGTAAATTTATGAAGGAAAAATTTGGGAAAATTTATTTGACATTCCAAAATGTAGACCTAATTAATTACAAAGATATTTATGATATAATTAATTTACAAATAATAATCCTGAAAAATGGTCATTAAATATGTTCTTAAAAAGAAAAAAACATAACCAAGAAACAAACATTAATGTATCTTGAAATAAGAGTATAGGATTTACAAAGCCAATATAAAAGTATTCATGATAATATTAACACTATATTAAAAATATTTAAAATATATTAAATCAAAGTCTAGGAAAGAGATGAATACATTCAACAACTTCGAAATGAAAGGACCAATGAGCATCTTGCATTACGTCATCAACTATCAGTTCTGAGAGAAGATTGTAATAGGTTGCGTCGTGAAAGAAATTCTGCTCATTCTGCTCTTCATAGAGCTGAAGGAATGGTTTAAAGCTTAGATATAAATTACAACTATAATGGCAAATATATTAATGCCAATATCACAACCACTGACAACAAGAACTACTATTAAATGATAAATTGCTACACCAAGGAAATCAAACAAGCAAAACGAACAGTCACACTACAAGTTTACAAATACCATATGAGTTTTATTTTTATAATCTTAAATCTTGATTAACTTATTATCATTATTCAATTAAGTAATAAAGATTTATCAATAATTTTGATAATACAGCTAAAGAGTGTTAAACGTTGAGGGTGAATGATAGGATGAAGAATAGTGAAAAGCAGAAAGAGGACGATATCATTCTTTAGCATAAATATTATTTATTTTTATTTATATAAAATTTCTTTAATTCTCTTTTTTAAACACATTAAAATTAAATTTATATTTTATTAATTAAATATTTAATTTCAAAATATATCACTATTATTAATTATTTGCAATAATGCTTGAATTCAATAATTAGTATATGAAGAGCATGCTAAAAGTTCTCAAGATGCCATTCAAGAATCCCAGACACAATTGAAAGAATCACTACAAAAATCCAACATGTCTTTGAACAGCATGCTCAATGAGAATAAATCAAAAACAAATGAAAAAGGGATGTATGATTAAGCATTATTTTTGAAGGCTGAAAAAATAGCGATACAAGGTATAATACAATTCAGTGACCCTGAACATAGCCATGTTACTTCACTGTACAAAAATATTTTGATGTCGCTAACAGAGGAGTTATCTTTAACCCACCAATAGTTACTAATGTTGATGGATGTAAGGGAATTCCGGGAGATTAATGGTTGATCTTACTTTTTTGTCGACATTGATCAAAGAATGTTGATCAGAATATTCTACATATGAGCGGATTCTGACTTATTTAATAAGCCACCAGAATGATTGAACCCTGATTTAATTGGTTAATCAGTACCTTTTAAACTAGCAATTTTTTTCTATTCATTGCTTTTTTGAGCTAAATTTCAGTATGGGTAAGTTTTTTGCTAATTATAAAAGAATAAAATATTATTTTTTTTATTTTGTCTCATAGGAAAGCTATTTTTTTTTTTGTAAAAAAAATTATTCCTTTCTTTGTGAAAGGCTAACTTTTTATTCCTTTCTTTGTATGAAAGGCTAATAACTATTTTTTTTNTTTTTTTTAATATTAAAAAATAGGAAAGATAAAAAGCCCCTATTGTCATCAAAACAACTTACAAAAGTTATCATTATTTTTTGAAAGTGATAATATTGATAATTTAAAAGGCATCAAATCAAAACTAATTAATGATTGGTTAGCAGCTACATTAAATAATGGGTAGTAAAATAATTAAGATTAATCAATGTTTTATTTAATAATAATAATTTTAATAATTTTAGTTATGGATTGTTTCATTTTGATACTATTGAGCAGAAAGATAAAATTTTAATTTTGTAAGAAACAAAGATTTTATTGGACCACATGCAAAAAGATCAAATTTAGGTTATCAACAGCTCCTGTGGAAGTGTGGAAGTGTGGAAGTTGGCGATATAGTAAGTTATTACTAAATTAATTATTAAAATTTTTTTCTAATATATATGTAAAAATTTTTTGTTATAGGAATTCATTTGCTCCTTGAAAAAAAAAGTAAAATCAAAAATAACTTCAATTTTCAAATCGATGAAAGACAATAAAGCGTCGTCCAACACATCAAAAGGTAATACCGCATCGTCCCATCAGGTAATATAGCATCACCCAACAGATCATCAAAGGGTAATACAGCGTTATTCAATGCTCAAAATCTATTCATTGGTGACCTTTTAAGTTTCTAAAAGTAATTATTGTAATATTTACTACCTATCCTTTAGAGATAAGAATAAATTTAGAGTTGAAGAAAAGTAAATTAGAAATTGAATTACAGGAACTAGGGAAACTAGAGGACAAAATTCAAAAGATTAAAGCAGATCTCCAGAAAATTGAAGGAGTTCTAATACGGCCTTACATGGTCGTGTTCTCATTAATTCAATTTCTAACATATAAGTTTTCGCATCAGTAAATAAGTATTTGATTCTTTTAATAAATTTATTATTTTGTTATTTTTAAATAACAATATGCTTTAAACATAAATATATGGTGTAAATTTCAAATTTTTAATATTTTTTTTAATAAAAATGATTAAATCAAATAAAAAGGTTGTTTTTTATTTCTAAGAAACCGAAGTCCAGATCCACATTTTATTTAGAATATTAATAATTTTGAATTATAACTAGCCAATAAAATAGCGTGGTTAAAAATCCTAAATAAATGGCCAATAGAAATTGATCTTTTTTTATAAACAAAGATTAAAATTACTATTGACTATTCATTATGTTTATTTATAGACTTTAGGATTTTTAATCATGCTTAAATAAATATTATTATTTAATTGAAAATATTAAATATTTTCATATAAATAAATGATTGCTTCATAACTTATAATAATGAATAAAAAGATTTTTAAGACGTAAAAATTCATTAAAACTTTTAATAAAGAATCTAACTTTATTCATATAAATAAAATATGCTTTGGCTCTTTATTTTATCATGCTTTTATTTGTTTTAATAAAACCTAAGAAATAACATACATGCATTCCGTTTTGTCATATCTGTAAAGCTAAAAATTCATGGAATTATTGGTAAAAAATTACTTATTTAATGATCCCATTCCTTCTTTTCTAAATAAAAGTTCACATTATAAGGAGTTAAATCCCAATTATTGAAATTCAACCCTTATCTATTGCTTGTTTTGTAATGACTCCTTAATTTGTCTCTTTGATTGAAATTTTAAGCGAAAAAAAAATCTTTCTTCAAGATGCTTCGTAACCGCGTCCATACCACCACTATCAAAGATTCCAATCAAATTTTTAATATAATCTACTATTGAGCCATATTCTTTAGCCACCCTTCTTATACTCAACTTTCTTACAATGTTATCCAATTTACCAGGAGTTACCTCAGGATTATATTTCATAGCAAGACTTGCGATGGCTAATTCCTGTATAGCATTCGCCATGATTTTATTACATTTTCTTTCCATTATATTATCTGTTATCCCATTATTATTTGGTAGATTCGGATTTGATGGTGAAGTTGTTGAAGACTGTTGGATCCCCTGATTAAATACAACCTCGTTCAGATGATTGGGAGCTATATTAGTTCCCATTTCCTCTATTTTCATCATTCTATCACTTCTCTGTATTTTTCTTTGAGGTAGTCCGCTTGAAAATTCGGGTAAATAATTGAATTTTCTCTTATTATTAATATTAACGTAATTAGAATCATGACGGAGGTTATACTTGCGCCATACTTGGCTATCTTGAGGATGGAATTCATTTCTACAATAGGGATTCAAGTATGTCTTAACTGATTTTTGGTGATTTATTTCTAGAACATACGATTTTTGAATTAATACAACAATTTCTTTTCAAAAAAAGAACATTAATCAACTTACCTGCATTTAATAACTTCTCATAAAATACTGCAGCCAACTTCTCTAATTTAAAAAAATCCGGTCCATAAACTTTTGCTAATAAAAACAGAGTTAAATTTTTTGTTTTTAATGAATAAAATCTTATGAAATCGCTTTAATTACCTGAATTAATCCTATTAAACAAAATTATACTCAATTGATGTAGCAATACACAAGAATTATTATGATAGGGTTTAAGATAAACACTATCAATTTGAAATATTTCTTGATATTTATTAGAAAAATCAATCATGATATTCAAAATATCAAATTCATAATTATATGAATTTAAAAATCTAATAACTTTTTCAACAAAACTAACTGATGGTTTAAATTGCTGTTCCACAGGTACTTGATTCAACACATGTCCAGTTTCGGGTAATTTGTTTAAAGGTGCTTGATTTAACGCATGTTCGGTTTTGGTTAATTTATTTGAAGGTGCTTGATTCGAGGCATGTCCAGTTTCAGTTAATTGATTTGAAAAATATACCGTAGGTTGAGGGATATTATCATCAATTTCCATATCAATTTCTTCATCATCTTGCACAGTAGTTGAAGAAAATATATTATGAATATTACTTTCAGTAATATCGATATGCTCACGTTCTTTATTTTTAGCTTCATTATATACGCGTTGATTATCAATGTCAATATCACTATGTTCCCTTTCTTTACCTTTACTAGACGCGAGTCGATAATCATTTCTAATAACTGTATGTTCTCGTTCTTTACCTTTACTAGATACTATTCGATTGTCGGTTCTAATATCTCGTTCTTTATTATACACGGGTTGATTATATTTTTTAATATCGTTATGATCTCTTTCTTTATATTTAGAATTATTAGAGACAAGTTGATTATCAGGGCTAGTTAATATAGGTATTATTTTAGGAACTGAAGGCGAAGGAAGTGCCATAACTTTATTAACAGGAAAATTAGTAAAATGATTTGTTGTTGTCACAGGAAGAGAAATAAAATTATTTCTCGAGCTATTTTGTAAACTTTTACTTGAGTGATTGGAAAAAGGTTGTGTATAAATGATTTTCGAATTAAATGAGTTAGAACCCATTATTGGAAAACGCTAATAGAATTAAAAAATTTTTTTTTTAAAAAAAAAAGAAAGTAGAATTAGAATATTAGTCATAATCACGCTATATATACAATTGTTTATGCGTAGCTGCGTAGTACAATTATTTTGATCGGCATTATTATAAAATTTTAATCACTAGCTTATTCACATAATTTTCTTTTTCATATATAGTTTTATTTACAACTTACTGAGATCATTATTAATTATTAATTCTGTAATATATAAATTAACAAGCATTACAACGTATTTTATCAAGATTCAAAGTGTGATTAAAATCTTGAAAATTTAATTTTTAACCCTTTAAATTGTAAATAGAATTGCAATTAAAAGAAATGACGCGTATAATTTAAACCCTATACCAAAATCTTTCTTTAGTTTTTATGATTAACGTTAAATAAATACCCATAACAATAAAAAAATAAAACATAATAATATTACGTAGCCTTGGAATAATTAAAATTCATTGATATTTTTTTTCTTTATCTCAATATTCTTTATTATTATTATATTTCGCCTGTTATGAGAAATAAATAAAAAATGACAATAAATATTAGCAAATTTTAACGCAGTTTTTAAAATAAGCTGAAGTTTAATATTGTTGATGTTGATCAGCAAGATTCGGCCAAAGTTTATCCAAAGCAGAATTAAATCTACAATGGTCACATGAAAGTGGATCGATCTCTCTTATATACCTAAACAGTTGAAAAGCTGTATTTACGCCATTGGGCGGATTAACTTACTATGATAGCATACCTCACTTGGTTTTACGTTGTATATGACAAGAGCTGCTGAGATTTACTGGACAACATATGGGTAATGGCTTTACTAACAGGATCCCATAAAATTTGTGGGCAGCTAGTTATTTAAATATACATGTTGCCTGTTGAAGACTTGAAGGCCATAGCATCGATATTCTTTTTTCTTTATTAGAGAAATTTTTAATAATATTACAACTACTATAAAATTATATTGATTTATCATTTGTTATCCTTAGCATAAATATGCTTCTTTTATCATAATCTTATTGATAGATTACATTTTAAAAAATTGCAGTACAATAAAAACATTTTTCTTGCCAAATATTTGGATTACCGATCCAAAATTACCTGGACATAGTGAGGGTTCATTATATTAAGTTCTGGTTGTATACAATCAAATGTATTATATCATCATGTTATCATCTTAAGGCAATTTTATTGACAAAATATATAAATATGGACCAGAGATCGATTATTGTATTAGACCTACATGTAAAAATATACTTTACATACATACATGATAAGAAAGAGATAGCCAAAAAATAAATAGGAATAGAAAATCAGACATTCTACAATAAGATGACAATACGGGCAAAGGTGTAAACCTGAGTTAAACTCTGTTAGTATAACATATGGCCTTTGAAGAGAAAGGAATGATCATGAAGTCTAAGAAACTCTTAAGCTTTAGCTTTACAAAGAAGCATCTTAAAAGACAACTAAAATAATAAGTAAATAATCTTGAACGAAATTGAATGTGAAAATATTTACCACTTTTCGTATTACAGTTTTATTCAAATAGATAATGTACTACGGTCATTTGTTTATTAATTGGATCCGTTTTAACATTCTAAACTATGATGTGTGTAATATTACATCAAAAATTTTCTCATTTATTTATTTCATTTTTGAAGGATTATCAATATCAAATTTAATATAAAATGACTTTTCTTTTAAATTTAACTATTGAAGTAAAAACTCACTGTTTAAAACTGACATTAAAAATTTTAAATGTAATTAATAAAAAAGTATCAAAATAAATTCATCGATTATTTAAACCTCTTTAGGACAAATCAACCAAAACCATTTCTTATATGCACAATAATTAATATGATTTTTACACTATAATAAAATGAAATTTAAATAAGAATTTACGTAACGAATTGTATTACAGTTTTATTTAAATAGTAACGTTTATATAAAATTAACAATCAGCAAATATTCTTATCATGTTTGTAGTAGTTTCAGTCTGGCTGTTCGTGATGAACAACGTAATTACTTTACTTCCGTCAGTAAACTGGTTAATTAATAATCAATTAAGTTTGACGCCAGAGAATTTTAGACTGAATTTCGGTTAATTTGTTATTTTTGTCCTTTAAGATTGTGAATATATATTTTATTAAACTTATTGTATTAGATGAAACAAAAAAAAAAGAATTATATGATAAATGAGCCAATAATTCCTGGGTGAGTACTACTACAGAAACAATTGCAGTTGCTGTTCCACGAAAGAAATAACGCGATTTTTTTTTTACCTCACCTCTGAAATAATTTGGACGGGCCAATTAAATTCTTAGGTATCGTCTTAAAAGAAAAAAAATTATTTTAAATTTATTCAAGATAAAAAAAAACTAGTAATAATAAATGTAAAAATAAAATCGGTTTTAATAATAACCGATATAAAAATCATTTTCTTATTTGCAATGCTTAATAGATCTTCCATCTAACTCAAACAATTTTTTTTTTAATCATGATGTCAGAATGCTATTTGTCAAGCATTTTGCTTTCTAACGTTTGTAATCAAAGTTGAACGCCTCTTTTTAACACAAAACCCTCTCAATAAATAATGTATTCTTAATATATTTTTTAATATATACTGTATATATATATTTTTTGCATATTTGACAACCATAATAATTTCCATTAAGATATAATAATAAAGTAAATAAAAATATAAACTAAGTTAATAAAAATTTCCAAAGCACTAACTTTAAATTTATTAATAACATTCTGGATATTATCGAAAAAACCTACTAATAAGATACATAATTCAAATTGTCTACACAAATAATTTCATTGAAATATATTATTAAAACAATTAAATAAAATTAGACGAGAGAACTATCAATAAAATAATAAATCACTAATAAATTATTTTACCTTATTCACTAAATTTTACAATCAAAACATTCTGAAACTATAAATTAAATAAATTAAATAATAATATAATGTTAAAATAAAATATAAATTTATAATAACAAAAAATATTAATGATTATACTTACTTAGATTTGTTGATACTGATGGGACATCATCTATTATTAAAAAAAAATTGGATATTGTTAAAACTTGAATAAGATTTTTTCATAATTAAATTGAAGATTTTACCTGAATTAACTTGAAATGATGATAAATCTGATGAATTTACTGGTTCTGGAAGATTTTTGAAACTTAAAAGTCTACTGGTATAGATTGCTTGAGGATGAGTTTTAATACTTTCAGATTTATTTTCATTTGATCTGTTTTTCAATTTTTTTTCTCTAATTTTATTATTATATTCCCACATTTGAGAATAAATTTCACCATTGAATTTCATATATTCTTCATGCCATTTTGCTAAAATTTGATACAATTCTTTAGCAGATGGTCTATTTTCTGCTTTAGCATCCCAACATTTCATAATTAAATCTACAAAAAATTTTGGAATATCTTCAGAAATTTTTGGTCTAAGTCCTTTACATATTTTAATAGCTAAAATATGATCATGAGAAATATCATTAAAAGGAATTTCTTCAGAAAGGTACTCATTCATAAATATTCCAAATGAATAAATATCAGCAGCTTTTGTATATTGATATCCACGTAAAATTTCTGGTGCCATATAAGGTAATACTCCATAAACTCCTTCTTTTTTATCTTTATTATTTGCTGGTTGACACATTCCTAAATCACTTATATACATTGTCCCACCTTCCAATATATTACCCGAATGAAAGTCTTTATGGACTTTTCCAGCATTATGAATATTTAACAGTCCATTTGCAATTAATGATAATCTAAGAAGTTTCATATCATCGTATATATTTAAATAGAAATTTCTTAAATTTCCATTTTTACAATAATGTAAAACCATCATATAATCTTTTGTATTTGGATCTTGAGTTATTCCATAGCAGAACACAATATTCCGAATATAAATCTGAAGATAAGATTTGATCTAATAATTAAAATTTTTTTTAAAAAATAAATTTAATAAAAATTATAATGTCAATAATGCCAATTTAAATATAACATGATAAATTAATTTTTTTGTTTAGTTACCTCATTTAAAAAATCAGTATTAATTTCAGAAGAATTATCCAAACTTTTTAATGCAACTTTATGAATTGTGGCTCTTTTCCATTTTTGATTTTCAATATCCCAATACAAAATACATCCTTCAGGCCATTCAGCTGAATAAATTTTACCAAAGCCTCCTCTGGTAATATAATTTACATTTTGAAATTTTTCATAAGGTATCCATTCAAGACATTTTGTATATATTACAGCATTAAGTTGTGAATGTTGTATTAATTCATCAATATCTTTATTTCCACTAGTCCAATTTTTAAAATTTTCTTCAAATCTTTTTGCATTACAAGATTGACACCAATTTTCTCCTGTGCCAGGTTCATTACATTCTCCACATATACTATATACTTTTTTTCTTTTTTCTATATCGTCCATGTAAATTACACTATCATCAATATCTTCTGATTTAGTGGCAGAATTAATAGAAGAAACAGTTACATGAGTCTAAATAAACGATTAAAATATATTTTATTTATTATTTAAATCATATTATTTATACAGCAATAAATTATAAAGTGAAATCGCATTTACCTGATATTCATCAAAATCAACTTCTTTCCATAAATTTCTTGGTTTAGGCTTTTTTTTGAATATTTTTTTTAATGATTTCATACTTATCAATTGTGATAACTACAGTAATTTTAACTATATGTGTAGTACTTTATAATAAATGAAAATCATTAAAACAAATTTAATGAACGCAAAGTTATTTATAGAGTTCAATGTATACAAAAATATGCACAACATGTCACATCTGAGGCTACAATCCATACCAATCAGGTTCAACAATTTTTGTCAGCCGCTTTGAAACATTGTGAAACCATTTAGATAAATAAATAAGGAATCGTCAAAATTTTGTATCACATGATGGCCAAATTTTATATTGAATACGAGTAAGATTTTTTTTTACTAAATTATACATTTTACAAAATTAAAGAATATTATATCTTTAATTACATAAATTTAGAAGATAATAATAATAGTATTCAATATTAAAAAATTAATGTGTATCAATATTCATAATCATAAAAATAATTTTTTGTTGTCGATACACTTTCAGTTGTGACATGTACGATGACAAAATTAGTTTTCATTCACAAATCTGAACAAATTTTTTTTTAAATTTATATAATTGACCAATAAAAAATGTATTTTAAAATATCATGTGATAAACAGGATTTGCTTTTCTATTAGGGCGCAGTCAAAAAATCGCATGATTGTTTAATTCCTAATATAATAGAAAATGCAACTTTATTAAATATTCAAATTGATTTTCTCACGCTAAAAATTCCAGAATTTTTAAAATTTTTTGAATTTAGAAATTAAAACCCCGGGCGGTTGAGTCAAAAAAGGTATGAAAACCAATTTTATAACTTTTGTGTCGTTAAAATGGCTTTATAATTAAAAAAAAATTGTATTTAAACATTATAATTTTCTTATTAATTATTTTATATTTTTTTTTTCTAAAAATAAAGTTGTCAAATTATTGTGGATACAATCTTAATATCTATTTCGCGAAAAAAAAGTTCATGAAATTTTTGTTTTCGAAAAAAAAAGGTTTTGTTAAAAAAAAAATTAAAATTTTTATTTAATAAACTTTAATTTAGAAAATGATAAACGTAAAAATAAATATAAATTGAATCGATTTTAAGAAAATAATTAACTTTTGAATTTATTTTTTAATTTAACCACAAAAAATTTTGAATGGAGGAAACCATGTTGCAGATATTGATGTTATTGATCATAATTTAGAAAGTGACTCTACCAAAGGAAAATTATTGCCAAAAGTTTTCTAGATGTATGTGTATTTCATTAATACGGTACGAAAATATCATACTTATATCAACACTTTTTTATATTTACTATGTTTATTTAAACTTTGTACAATTACAAAGATTCAACAATAATATGTTAATGACAATATTTATTTTCTGCGGAGTGCATACTTATAATAAGCATTTTTCACCATTTATATTCTTTTAATAATATAGCTTGACAGTAAGTACCCCGATCGATCATCACGTATTTTATCTCCAACATATTTATTAAGGGATGAGTGATTATAACTTATAGACATTATCACCCTGTTTAATAAGAAAATTAGATATGAAAATAATACCAAATCTTGATAAAATAATTAAATCAATTTAAAATATACCAATAGTTTATATTTTAAGGATCCAATGGTAAAATTGGTATGGATAATCAAGATATTTATATAGGATTTCATAATAATGAAGTAGAGATGGCGTATTAGGATTTTGGGCTAAAAATAACTGATGGTATTTTACTTACTTATAACATGTTGTTCATCCACAACTTTTTATATATGAAAATTTTATTTTAATTAATATTTATTTGGAAATATTAATAAATAGACGTTAATTATCAAATAAATAAAGTATACTATCAATAATGTTTGTATAGTGATGTAGAAATAGTATGGAAAAGATGATCCGTTCGTTTCATAATTATAAAGAATCGAAAAGCTTAAAATGTAGCAAGTCTTACTATTTTATCAGCGTTATTGGTAAATGTATTGTATATTTATTCACATGATATGAAACAAGCTTAATCATTTTTTGTTAGCTAATAATTTGTTGAATTTTCAATGATATTTGAATTTTTTTTTCGGTTACAAAAATTCTTAACTGAATCGAACTTCGGTCAATTATATTCTATTAAACTTATTGTATTTAATTTACTGAAGTGATTACTGCGGATACGATTGCAGTTTCTGTTACATGAAAAAAAAATATACAATATTTTTTAACCCACCTCAAAAATAATTTTAGATGGGTAATTAAAGTCCTAAATAACTTCTTATAAAGAAATAAAATTTTTTAAAATTTTATTCAAACTAATAATAAATATAACAATAATCATTTTTAAATATAAAGATAATAACAAATTTAAAATTATTTCTTTGTATACAACCAATTTTAAGTTTTTCAATAGACAAGCTAACCTAAAGATTTTCTATCATAATATTTTTATCATGATATCAGAATGATATCTGCCAAGCATTTCGCTTTTTAACGTTTGTAACCAAAGTTGAGCATCTCTTTTTTAATGCAAAACTCTCCCATTAAATAATATATTTTTAATATAAACATATTTTTTGCTTATTGAATCTGTCATAAAAATTTACACCAAGATATAATATTATATTATTTTTTAAATTTATTAATATTCTAACTATTCTTGAAAAAACCTAGACTCAACAAAAAAATTAAATGAAATTAGACGAATTAGACGAGAAAACTATTAATAAAATAATGAATCACTCCAAATAAATCATTTTACCTGATTCGCTAAATTGAACGTCAAAGCATTCTGAAACTATAAATTAAATAACAAAATAATATTGAAATAAAATATAAATTCATAATTACAAAAATTATTAATGATTATACTTACTTAGATTTATTTATACTGATGGGCATCATCTATTATTAAAAAAAAAAATTTGAACTTTGAATAAGATTTTTTCATAACTAGTAATTAAAATTGAAAGATTTACGATAATTCTGAAGAATTTACTGGTTCTGAAAGATTTTTGTAATTTAAAAGTCTAACTGGTATAAATTGCTCGAGGATGAATGAATTTTAATACTTACAGACTTATTTTTCATTTTCTATCGCTAGTCGAAATAGGACCATTCGTCCATTCGACTTAAATTTGACTAGGTCAATTATAAAATGTTGATCTGAAGATATTCGCCAGATTACATTAGTACTCAACTATTATTTTTACAAATTTTAAGACAAATTATGGGCTATTGGTAGTCAATTTTTTACTGATGTGTTTCTGAATTTATAATTTTATTAGATATTTATATTATTACACAAATTATACAATCTATTTAATTGTCTAATGTAAAGATTAATCTAAAATTCACCTAAAAATTGTTCTAATTTATCAAAATTAATAACAAATCTACCTTTCAGAACCCAGAATCATTTTAAATTCATTTTTTTTATCTAATAAAAAAGTAAACATCACTATAAGTTCATCCTGACATACATAACTCATCATGGACTACTTTATCATCAATCTCTTCTGATTTTGATGGATGAATCAATAGAAGAAATTGTAACATGTTTCTAAATAAGTAATTTAATATATTTATTATTTAAGTCATATTATTTATAATAAATTATAAGGTGAAATTGCATTTACCTGATATTCATTCCAATTAACAACTTTCCATAAATTTGCTTTTTCTTTGGATGTTTTATTCAAAAATTTCCATATTAGTATTTCTTAACTTTCTTTTGAATATACAGCATTTATTACGAAACAAATGTGTTAACTACAGTAATTTTAGTTATATGTGTTATTAAAACAAATATGTTGTAAAGTTATTTTTCAGATACTGCGACATGTATCGAAGCTACCAATCAGAATCAATTTTGTCAGATGCTTGTCATCATCTAATCAAAATGTGAAACCAAAAATAAGGAATCGTAAATTTTGTATTACAAATTTTCATATTTATTAAATTACACATTTTGAAAATTGAAGAATATATGGCAACTGGTATTAAATTTTTAATTACATAAATTTTTATTAGTAGGTAATAGTACAATATTCCATAATAAAAAATTATTAAGTGTACAAATATTTATAATTATTAAATTAATTTGTAACGGTTTTAATTTTATACATTAATTTAAAAAAAACAATAAAATAATTAATAATAAATATAAAATCGTCAGAATATCGCGGATACAATTGTTATAGCTATTTCACAAAAAAAGTTCCCGATTTTTTTTTTTAAAAAAAAAAAGTCTAAAAAATTTGCGGAGTAGATGAGTAGTAGATGTTTTGTAAAAAAAAAGAGACTTTTCATTTAATACTTTAATTTAGAAATTATTGAGTCGATTTAAGAAAATAATAATTAGATTATAAAGTTTTAAAAAAATTAGCACAGTTAACAAATCTTTTCGCAAATTAAATATTCGTGCGTTAGAAAAGTATATTGGTGTTATTTTAACACTTCATAGTTTATATTGCTTTAGCATATTATTGTTGAATCTTTGTAATCTATGTTCGTGTAAAGTTTAAATAAAATAGTAAAATATAATGTATATTTATATTAATGACAAAATTTATTCTTCTGCGTAACATACTTTGTACTATACCCATTTTTTACCATTTATGTAATGAAAACTCTATGGGAAATGAATATTATAATGTCAATCTTGTCTGACATTTCTCTTTTGGATATCTCAGATTCTTTATTCAATAATTTCTATATTAACAAAAATTCGTGTGTAACGGAGAGTTTTAGATTATCCTGTATAAATAATTTTGAATTGCGCAACGTGTGATTCGCCTGCGCCTGATCTATATAATTATTATGGTTTAAATAATTTGATTGCTTCCGGGTCATGTGTACGTTCCAATGGCCAATTACCATTGCTAATCAGTTCCGGATAATGATATTTTTTTTTATTTGCTAATTAACAAAAAAAAGCTTTTAATTTATTTTTTAGTAACACGCACTTCTTTATTAAAATATATATACAATAAAATATAACCTATCTATTAATAATTCCATAATCAGTCAACATTTTTAGGATGATGCGATCGGCCGACAGCAAATAGTTATCCGAACGTTGATTTTAAAATATTTTTTTCGGTCTCTTTTTTACCGGATCACTTTTTTTTTAATAGTATTTTTTTTTTTTTTGGTCATTTTTAGACTGGATCTTTTTTGATAATAATATTTTTTTCGATCTCTTTTTTTTTCTAAGCCAGATTTTTTTTCAAATAACAATATTTTTTTCGGCCTTTTTTTCTTAGACCGGATCTTTTTTTTTTAATATTACAGTTTTTTAAAACCGAGATTTTTAATAATTTTTCTTTCCAATTTTTTTTAAAAAACTGAATTTTTAAATACTTTTCATCCTGGTTTTTTTCTCTGTCTTTTAGGCTCAGATCTGATCAGTGATCGGATTGATCAGATTGATGCTGCGGTCCTACGGTAAAGCGTGATTTTTTATTTTAATAATTTTTTCTTATTATTTACAATATAATCAAAATAAAATATTTTTTTTTATTGAATAAATATGCTTTATATGATTTTAATTAGGATAAGTATATTTTTTTTTTACCTAAAAATAAAAAAAAACGTGTTAATATTATATAAGATTTAATTTATCTAAATATAAAACAAAAATTTTATTGTTATATATTGATTTTAACTCATTTAATCCTGTTGCAGCGCAACAGGCTACAGCTAGTATATATCTAAAATAATTAATTTCATCCGTTCATTTTCGTAATTACAAAGAATTGTAAAGTTTTTAAGTGCAACAAAACATACTACTGTACTATTTACCTAAAAAATGTACTGATTGATCCGATCTAAACTTGTTTAGGATTAGAGTAGTGTGTATTTTAATTGACTCAAAATACATTGATCAATGATTTGATCGAGTAAAACTCACAAAATTCGATTACGTTTAATTGATTGTATATAATTGATCATGTGATTAATCTACTGCAAAAGGTTGTTTGATCAATCATTGATCAAGGCATATTTTTATCAAAATTTTAAAAATTATTGGAATTTTATGTTTTTAAACAAAAGAAGCTCATTAACTGTTTCATTTTTTTTTCTGCATTTATATTTTTTAATAATTAAAAATATTTTATAAAAAATAAATATTAATTTATTTATTAAAAGTAATTTAAGTAACGAAACCAGATGGATATGGATGCATATAGTAGTACATTGGATTTTCTTTAAATAATCGTTTAAAAAAAAAAAATTCAAGTTATTTTCTCAAGTGACACATAATTGCAGCACGTCTTAAAGTGGAAACTATTCATTGCATATCAGAAGTACCAATAATTTCTTTACATTTTAATTCTTTGATTTATAATTATTTATTATATGGAATAATATTGAAGCATAAAGGATCATTGTTCCACGAATTGATCTTGCTTTGTCTAAAATATAAATAAATCATTCATATCTAACATAATACCCTGTTATTCATGTGAATGGAAATAACGTTAATATTGGTAATGTTAACAAAAAAAACCCCATTATATCTACTATATCAAGGTAAGTATTGCTGTAAATAATATATAATATGAAACGAGCTTAATCATTTTTTTAGTTAAGGTCTCGACAGTTAGCATTGAATGTTCAGAAATTTTTTTTTTCACAATTGTGTGAAGAAAATATTCTATCAAAATAGATGTTAAAATTCTAAAGTGCATTTCATTTTATATGTATAACATCGTTAATTACCATAATGAAAGAATTCCTTACTAGTTATATAATAAGTAAATTAATCTTCTCATTTGGAAAGTGGATTTTTAATGAGATTCTTTAATATAACAGTAACTTGAATAAATTATAGCCGTTTGAAATTGTGTAGTTAGGCGTCGATCATAATATCATGGGAAATTCACAAGATTTCCCAGATTTCCCTCTTTTTTCAAACTTATCATTGAATAAACTTCGTAATATTAAAGATTTCCCAGATTCCCTGATAAATATTATTGCTATATCACTACCAAAAACCATAAATAAAGTTAAAAATAAATTCTACAGCTAAATTTTGATCATTTTAAATGAAATTTAACGGCTTTTATAAACAAAATATTTAGTATGCCTCCAGTTTATAGTGAGGATTTAAAAACAACGTATAATATATCTTCGACATGATTTGGTGGCTTAGTTATTATACATTTACATTTTTTTTGTTGTAAGTCAATTCCACAGTATAAACACATTCGGCACCCAAAGCAGGTTCCTTGTTTACTTAAGTTTAGTATATTGTGTATCAGCCATTATTTTTTTTATAATTTGGATATAATTTAAGAAATTTGAGTTTGATTTTATTTTGGCTTATAAAGTTTAATTTTGAGCTAAATTTAGTTAATGATCTTGATTTTTTGATTTCCCGATTTCCTTTATACATAAATGTGATAAAAACCACTGACTACACCTTTTTGCAAACGGCTATAAAGGGATATGATGCATTTATTATGTCCTGTAATTATATTTAATGTTGTCATAATAAAAATTAAAAATTTGTTTACTTTTATAGATACTGCATAACATCTATGTAATTTAATAGGACAAGCGTAATTCCAATTTCATTTCAGATTCTTTTATAAAGTACCTTACATTCAGTTCTTTGGTATAATAGATTCATTTCTTTTAATAATAAAAATGCGATATTAAACCCCATTTTAAAATTATAATATCATGAAATAGCTTACCATGTTTCCATATATTGATTTCGATAAATGTAATAACAAACTTTAACATCATATAAAATGATTAAATGGTTATTACAATATATATTTCATAATTATTAAGCAATTTTTAAAATACTGTATTGCACTTTATTTCAACTGAAGTTGTAAGATTGAATTTATATTTAAAAATATTTTTTTATTTTGTACTCATTATGTGTCTATAATAAACAGCTTTTTTTTCCATTTCAATCAATTGAAAATAAATTTTTTTTATAAAATTAAATAGTAACGTTTATATTAAATTAACTATCAGCAAACATTCTTGTATTGCTTGTAGTTAGTTTTAGTCTGGCAGTTCGTGAATAACGTAATCACTTCACTTCCATCAATAAACTACTGGTTAATAATCAATTAAATTTAGTGCCAGAGAATTTTAGAAGATAAAGTTTCTTAAATTCTTAACTGAACCAAATTCGGTCAATTTATTATTTTGTCCTTTAAGATTGTGAATATAGAGTATAATGAGTATATTCTACTAAACTTATTGTATTAGAATGAATAATAAAACAAAAAAAAAAATTATATGATAAATGAGCCAATAATTTCTGGCAGAAACAATTGCAGTTGCTGAATCAGGAATTTTTTCCGTTTAAAATCCACATGGAAATCCACATCAAATACTGTGGAAATATGTGGAAATCTAAATAGTTCCAGTATTTTCCGAATACCCTGTGACGAAACACGTGGTATTTTCGGCATAAGTCCACGAAATTCGGTATGGATCCATGTAGGATATTGGAAATGTGTGAAATTCCACGTATTTCTGAGCAAACCCACGTGGAATTACATGGACCGACCCACCTAAAAACTTCCTGATGTGTTTCACAAGAGACAATAACCCGATTTTTTTTTTGACCTCACTTCTGAAATAATTTAGACAGGTCAATTAAATTCTTACTAGGTAACTTCTTAAAAGAAAAAAATTATTTTAAATTTATTCAGATAAAAAAAAAATAACCCTCTCAATAAATAATATGATATTTTTAATGTATTTTTTAATATATATATATATTTTTGCATATTTGACCAACCATAATAATTTCTACTAAGATATACTAATAATAAAGTAAATAAAATATAAACTAAGTTAATAAAAATTTTTAAAGTATTAAACTCTAAATTTATTTCTGACTATTACTGGAAAAACCTACTATAATTTAAGACTCATTGTTTAAATTATCTATTTAATTGTGATCTATTATTAAAACAATTAAAAAAAATTATTATCAGTAAAATAATAAATAACTTTAAATAAATTATTTTACCTGATTCACTAAATTCTATAATCAAAACATTCTGAAACTATAAATTAAATAACAAAATATTGTTAAAATAAAATATAAATTTATAATTACAAAATACAAGTATTACTAATGATTATACTTACTTAGATTTGTTGATACTGATGGGACATCATCTATTATTAAAAAAAAGTTGATATTGTTAAAACTTGAATAAGATTTTTTCATAACTAATTAAAATGGAAAATTTACCTGAATTAACTTGAAATGATGGTACATCTGAAGAATTTACTGGTTTTGGAAGATTTTTGAAATTTAAAAGTCTACTAGTATAAATTGCTTGTGGATGTGTTTTGAAGTATTTGGATTTATCTTCATTTGATCTATTTTTGAATTTTTCTTTTCTAATTTTATCACATTCTTTTATTTGAAAATATATTTCACTAATTTGACTATTGTCAGCATTTTCACTATCTTTAACATCTTCACTATCTTTAACATCTTCACTATCGTCACCATTTCTACTATCTTCACCATATTCACTATCTCCACTATATTCACTATCTTCATTATCTTCACTATCTTTACTATCTTTGCTATCTTCACCATCTTCACCATCTTCACCATCTTCACCATCTTCACCATCTTCACCATCTTCATCATCTTCACTATATTCACTATCTTCACTATCTTCACTACCTTCAATCTCTTCAATCTCATCATACCATTTCTTTAATAGTTGATACAATTCTTTAGTGGTTGGTCTATTTTTTATTTCAGCATCCCAACATTTTATTATTAAATCTGCAAGTAACTTTGGTATGTCTTTAGAAATTGTTGGTCTAAGTCCTTTACAAATTTTAATAGCTAAAAAATCATCATGAGGAATATCATTAAAAGGAATTTCTTCAGAAAGAAATTCGTTCATTATTATTCCAAATGAGTAAATATCTGCTGCTTTTGTATATTGGTATCCACGTAAAACTTCTGGTGCCATATATGGTAATACTCCATAAATTCCTTCTTCTTTAACCTTTTGCTTATTTGCTGGTTGACACATTCCTAAATCACTTATAAATGAAAGAAAACCTTTATCACGCAATATATTACCTGAACGAAAATCTTTGTGAACTTTTTCAGCATTATGAATACCTAAAAGTCCTCTTGCAATTTGTTGTAATTGATAAATTTTTGATCCATAATTAATATATTCTTCAGAGTTATTCAAATAATTTCTCAAATTTCCATTTTCACAATAACTTAAAACCATCATATACTCTTTATTATTTGGATCTTGAGTAATTCCATAACATTGAACAATATTATCAAGATAAATCTGAAGATGAGATTTAATCTAATTATCATCAAAAAGGAAAAATTTTATTAATAAATAAATGCAAATAACAATCTTTATATATAAGACAAAGTAAGTTTAAATTACCTCATTTAAAAAATCTGAACATATATCAGAAGAATTATTCAAACTTTTTAATGCATATTTATTATAATTGTATCTATACCATTTTTGATTTTCAATATCCCAATATTCAATATTTCTTTCAGGCCATTCAGCTGAATAAATCTTTCCAAAACCACCTTCTGCAATATAAGTGATATTTTGAAATTTTTCAAAAGGTATCCATTCAAGACATTTATAATAATGTACAGCATTAAGTTGTGATTGTTGTATAAATTCATCAATATCTTTATTTCCACTAGTCCAATTATTAAAGTTATCTTTAAATCTTTTAGCATTACAAGGTTGACACCAACGTTCTCCTGTACCAGGTTCTTTACATTCTCCACATATTCCATATGCTTGTTTTCTTTTTTCTAAATCTTCTATATGAACTACTCTTTCATCTACATTTTCTGATTTAATAGTAAAACCAATAGTAGAAATTGTAACATGGCACTTTTAATAGACAAAAAATTATTAATATTTTTAACTACAAAAATTCAATAAAATAATTATAATTATTAAAAAACATTAAATTGCTATTACCTGATATTTATCAACATCAGTATCCTCCCATAAATTTTTTGGCTTTTCATCCATATTAATTAATTTGAGTTGTGGATTATAATTTAATATTAGTTATATAAACAAACTACTACGTTACTCAAAATAAATTCCAGAATTATTATAAGCAAAAGAAAAAAATTATTAATTGAACGAAGTTCAATAAATTGCGTACTTTTGTATTACTCATTTTGTATTACTGTTTGTACTACTATTGTATACAAAAATTACTACTTTTGTGACAAAGAAAATTCGTAAGCAGCTGCTGATCATCATAAAAAGAAAGAGAACTAATCTAACCTGAAATGGTTAAAATGATGGAATGATGGTGAGTACATAAGAGATCTACATCTTGTAAATACTTAAATACTTAATATGCGAAGTATGTGAAGTAAAATTATTTTTTAAACTTAATTTTTTTTTTGGTAATGTACATCTTTTTTCTGTATTTCAAAAAAATAAAAATAGTACCAATCTTACTAATCTTTGATGAGACGTAAAAATTTAAGTATAAAAATTGCTTTACTGAAACCCATGAAATCGTGGCTATGTAGTAGCCATGCTGCCGCCACTTAACGTAGTAGGCGTATGGCTACTCTATGTTAATTCTAACACAGTTGTATGTATTTAATATAGAAAATATATAGTAAATTATAGTCGTAGTATAGAAATAGTATTGCTAATACAAAGAAACTATATAAATGTTAGCAAGAATCTGTATAAATGATTTAAAGTAATCGTATGTATGATTTGCATTAAACGTGTAGTAAATTTATAGAAAATTTGTATTAACTTTATAATAAATATGTAGCAAATTGCAGTAAACATATAGTAAATTCATAGTAGATACAAAATAAATTCATAGTAAATACAAAATAAATATACAGTAAATTCATAGTAAATACATAATAAATATATAGTAAATTCATAGTAAATGTGCATCCTCTGTATACATAAGTCCCAAAAAATCGTCAAATATGGCACAGCAAAAATGACCTTAATCGCGCTAAGTTCTATAAAAGAGACCAGGGAAATAAAGGATGATATCCTAGCAGGCTGACGGAGATGACCTACCCTTTCATCAAACGGTACTGATCGTAGGAAGATATGATGCACTAGTTGAAGTTAATAGTGAGTGGATTAGTAATGAATGGCAAATATGAGGTGTTTAGGAGATAGATGTTAGCGGTGATATATGTACTCTCAATATAGTTGTCTTAATGTTAGAAAAATTTATCATGGGTGAAAAATAACGCCATACCAAATAATAAATAGAACCGTGCCGGAACTGTGTGATTGAGGAAACCGGATTGCCAATCAGTTTGCAAGTGATGCATTTTCTACGACATTGTGTACGAAGAAATAGTAGAGAAGTTAGGAGTAGTACATAAAGTTTCATCCCGCAAACAACGTATATACCAAACGATTCATGCAACGATCACATTTTCAGAAGATTACGATAAAAGTTTACGAATGGATCTTTCTTATGTGACGGAAATTGTGGAGCTTTATAGATCTCCTTGAACGTACGAAATGTTCTCAAGCCTCTTAACGTAATTCTCTAATACTTGCGGAAATATGATATCATCTTCCATTCTTTTCCGAATTTGATTATCTTTGTGAAATCGATGTGTATTTCCTTTCTATCCCTGCATCCATTCCATTTCACAATGCCACCTTATTCTTTTTCTGGAGTTAATGTTCGTATTAGTTGCTACCGGTCACGTTCTGTCCTGTCTTTCACCGTAGACTTCCATCATACAATCTAACCCTATATACACAAGATAAAGAGAGAAAAACAAAAGAGGAGGATAAAAACTATGGATCTGAGGGCAACGTCAAGTTCAGCAGAAGTTAGCTCTAGGACTATTTTTCCGCCAATCACGCCAATCACATCACCAATGAAGATGGACCCAGCCATGCCAAAGTCTCTGATGCTGGAAGAAGTAGTGGATATTATTAACGAGGTTTGCCGACACAGAATCTACGGAGTACCACTAGATATGGTGATTTATTCTGCAATATCGTACAAAATGGTGAAATTTGGTGAAGGTGAACGTTTTTACCGAGGTGTCAATGTAATAGAGATAGAATAACGGAATTGTTGATGGAAGAACATACAATAGCGTATGAAAAAAGTAAGAAAATATTATTCCGTTTTCAAGGGATAACATTCGAATTATGTCATTGAATTCAACAAACTCAACAATGACTCCGAAGCACGGTTGAAGCGCGATGAAGACGGAAAGAGAAAAGGACGAATTGAAGTCCAGGAAAAACTAATAATAGATGTAAGTTTCATAAGTTTGCGAAAGGAGATAAGTATTTGTAGGATTCAGGTAATTTAATTTACGTACCGAAGTTCAGTTTTGAGAAAAAAGATTCTGGTCTCAAATGTAAATTTACAGTTTGTTTCCTTATATTCCTATTTTTTTATATGTTTTTTTTGTCTCATTTTATATTTCCAAATCTTGTAAGTGGCCTAGCGGGCTCTGGTCGTTAAAAAAAAAAAAATTTACAAAATGAGAAGTGAAACGTTAATAACGATCACTGAAAGTAAAATAAATCGAAATAAATCTAAATTAATAAAGAGAAATCATTGGATTATTATTACAGTAATTAATCAGATAAAATTTTTGTTAATTGGTTTCTTTGTTTGTTTCGAATACTTTGACTTTTCAAACGAATCTGAATTTTGTGAAGATTCCAACCGACGATCAAGGGAGATTCATAAAACGGAAATAAATAAAATAANATAGGAAAAATTTTTATATGTTGGTTAAGCAAACTCAAAACCTACCTTTATATATATTGTTCGGGGTCTTATCTAACCCTATATACACAAGATAAAGAGAGAAAAACAAAAGAGGAGGATAAAAACTATGGATCCAAGGGCAACGTCAAGTTCAGCAGAAGTTAGCTCTAGGACTATTTTTCCGCCAATTACGCCAATCACATCACCAATGAAGATGGACCCAGCCATGCAAAATTCTCCGATGCTGGAAGAAGTAGTGGAGATTATTAACGAGGTTTGCTGACACAGAATCTACAGAGTACCACTAGATATGGTGATTTATTCTGCAATATCGTACAAAATGGTGAAATTTGGTGAAGGTGAACGTTTTTACTGAGGTGTCAATGTAATAGAGATAGAATAATGGAATTGTTGATGGAAAAACATACAATAGCGTATGAAAAAAGTATTTTAAACTTAAGAAAATATTATTCTGTTTTCAAGGGATAACATTCGAATTATGTCATTGAATTCAACAAACTCAACAATGACTCCGAAGCATGGTTGAAGCGCGATGAAGACGGAAAGAGAAAAGGATGAATTGAAGTCCAGAAAAAACTAATAATAGATGTAAGTTTCATAAGTTTGCGAAAGGAGATAAGTATTTGTAGGATTCAGGTAGTTTAATTTATGTACCGAAGTTCAGTTTTGAGAAAAAAGATTCTGGTCTCAAATGTAAATTTACAGTTTGTTTCCTTATATTCCTATTTTTTATATGTTTTTTTTTGTCTCATTTTATATTTCCAAATCTTGTAAGTGGCCTAGCGGGCTCTGGTCGTTAAAAAAAAAAAAATTTACAAAATGAGAAGTGAAACATTAATAACAATCACTGAAAGTAAAATAAATCGAAATAAATCTAAATTAATAAAGAGAAATCATTGGATTATTATTACAGTAATTAATCAGATAAAATTTTTGTTAATTGGTTTCTTTGTTTGTTTTGAATACTTTGACTTTTCGAACGAATCTGAATTTTGTGAAGATTCCAACTGACGATCAAGGGAGATTCATAAAACGGAAATAAATAAAATAAGAAAGAATAAGAGGACGTATTTCTTTTACCTTTAAAAGGATGTTACCTGAAGTAAGAAAAGATAAGAAAAGTAAATTAGGGTATTAAAGAAATGATAGAAATGAAATGAACAAAAAAAAATATATTATATTACATGAGTATATTTAAATAGCTTTAAAAAAAAAATCATTTCTTAAATAATGCTTATTTTCCAAATTATGATTATCCTTGCATCTCGAATTACAATCATGTACAAAATGCACCTTTTGAACATTTTCTACGACCGTTAACGGAAAAATATTGTGATAAAAATCGTCATGCCGAAGAATATAGATCGGACAACCCAATTTGTCATAAATTTTGTGAGTATCTTCGAACCAATCGACATAAATGAACGGATACAAATATCCGTCATTGCTCTTGTGTTTGAAGATAACTCTTATGACTGCGAAACTTTCACCATAATCGGCCACTTGGATCGTTACTATATCACATGTGTTCAAATGGCACCGATTCTCGGTATTATATATATCTTGAATATAAGAGGCGCCTTCATAAAAATTACATTTCTTGTTGATTAGTGATGCGAGGTATCAGAAACTTTCGTATGCAAGAACTAGGTCAGTTCTAAATGATACTGTATCAATTCTAATATTTGTGTTGCGAACTGACACTGGCTTTCTTAGAATTATATTACGAAACTGACTAGACTGTGAACAAACTATTAAAAATGTTAGCAAGTAATCATTTTAACTATTTATAATAAATATGTTATTACCTTCTAATTTCTCGTTATCTGCCTCTGAACTTTCTATAATAAACCAATCTATGAATAAGTGACTAAAGTCTTGAGATATATTTATGAATTCAACGCTATGTCATAAGTTTCGAGGGTCGATTCTACCATCTGCAAGATGCTGAATGGCTTGCAAAGTCGTATAATGTTTTACTAAGTCAAATTCAATGTTCTTGCAATTGGTATGCGGGACTTTATTTTTAAGATATGATGGACTATCTCCTTCGTTCCAACCGTGGTATTTACAAGAGTCCCAAAAGTTCTTGCATGCCGCAATAAATGACAACTGGCGTGAAGGTTAGGGAGGCCCACGAAGTCATCAAATAACTGCATTTGGTATAATTTAGTTAGTAGAATGAAATCAAACGCAAAAAAAGTTATTTTTTAGTTCGAAACCCTGATACAACTCTTGAGATTTACAACACAATCACTTC